GTGCGTGCGAGTGTGTTTACAGTTTGGCGGGCAGCCGTGCGGCGCGTTGGGACTCTGCCCTACCCCACAGCCGCGCTGGCTCGGCCCTTTGGCCACGCCCCACCCCGCCCCAGCCCGGGAACCGCCCCGCCACGCCACGCCCGGTGACTCAGCCCGGGGTGGCAGCCCACTCTGTGACTCACACAATTTATTTAACCAGCCACCCTCCGTCTCCAGCGGCCCCGGCGCTGTGCTGTCCAGCGTCCCTTCCCGTTCGTCGAGAGCGACCTGACCTCCCAGCTCCTGCCAGGCGGACCGGGGCCACACCAGGGCCACGTCTAGAGATGAAGACGCTCAAGATCTCCAGAAAGAAAAACTTTCACAAGGATGATTTTAAAATTAAAAACCAAGAAAAGGGAGGGTTTGTGAAAAGGTTCGATATTTTAAATAAGATAAATCTTTGAAAATGAACGTGGCCTAAGCCACTGTCCTCTGCCCTCGCCGCTCACGCTAAACACGAGCCATGGTATTAACAGGAGTTTTCTTCGATTTCCAGGGGAGTTGGAAGATACCCAGGGGATGCCATGGAGACGGGCAATTTTCCCAGGGGAAGTCATGGGTTTCGCTCCCCTGGGAATAATTTGCTCGTTTCCAGGGCATCCCCTGGGGTTCCAAGTCTCCTAGGAATCCCAGGACTCGTTTTTGCCGTGTGACAGCAGGGTAAGTACAGTATACACACTACTACACTATACGCGACAGCTCGCAGCTCACAGTTCACACACTTCCTGGTGCGTCCGTCCGTTCGGCACAGGAAGCACACGCCCGCCCCCCTCACTCGCCCCGCGCCAGTCCAGCTGGGCGGCGATGATTCAGCCAGAGCTGTGGGCTGCCGGCAGCCGGCACGCGCCCGACGGGGGGAGGGAGCTCAACGAACGCGTTCTGTTTTACACGACGCTCTTCAAACCATTAGAGTGTGTGTGTGTGTCTATGTCATAATCGCTGGACATTCACTGTGCATGTGAAAAGCTCGATCCGCCATCACACCCGCGCCCATTTTTCGCTGTTGAAAACGAGACGACAGGAATGCCTGGCATGCCACGCCACAGTCATGTCAAACTCGGCGCTGGTCAGCGGCGTCAAAAGGGTGCGCGCGCCTGCGCCTCTGGCCGCAGCTGCCGGCAGCTGCTGGACCGCTGCTGCTGCTGCTCCCCCTTCCTTCCCTCAGCTGCCGGCAGCTGCGCGGGTCGGCGCGCTTCCGTCCTTGACAGCCGCGCTGCTGCAACCCGCGCCGCTTCAACCAGCACAGCAGCAGGGGGGCGGCGGGCGGTGGAGGAGGGAGGGAGGGACGAACACGGAGTCTATTTCGATCTATTTACAGCGGGATGCCCCGCCGAGCCACGCCGCGCCCGGCCCCTGCTGCACCGTGTGCTGCAGTGCTGCACCAACAATGCCGCACAGGACACGAGAGGGCGGAGCGGGGCAGGCGGGGCGTTACTGTCGTCGAGTCGGGAGACCATAGCTCCATTGTTTTCCCATATTCGTTTCCAATTTCACGGCACGCTACACTCGGATGGCGATAAATGTCAGACGAGCAGAGCGGGCCCGCGGGCCGCGGGTCGCGCGCTGTAAACTTCCCATGTGCATCACATGGAGAAGGCTCCGCGCAGTCAGCTGTTTGCGGCAAAAACACACACACAGAAGTACATAGTCAGAATTACAAGCACCATAGCGCATATGTCGTTGAAAGTTATTGAATGACCGAGAGGGGTCGTGGTCGTCAACTCGGGTATTCTTTAGTGCCATTCCTCCAATAATATAGATCTTACAGATAATAATAAGAGGTGGCTGATTAACCCTGCGCACATTTATACAGTACCGCAAGCAGGCAGGCGGCGGGTTGCCTATCGGGTAGGAGCCGTAAGGCGCCGTATGGTCAGCGACGATGGGCAAACTCGCCCGCACGCCGGGGCTACTACTAAGTGCGTGGTGTTAATCGGCCACCATCGGCCACCTTGGTATGTAGTATTCCTTCGTACCCGGGCACTAGGAGTTGATGACCCCCTCGTTCACGACCATTCCGGGATCATTCAAAAATTTGTTCTTGCCGTTGCTCCCGACGGGATAGTAAGTGCGCTGCTGCACAGCGTTGCTGCGGTTGCAGTCCGAGCTGTCAGCGTCGGGGCCGGCCGGTATTTGCGTGCATTTCGATGCAGCCCGGGGCGGGGTGGTGCGGGGCGATGGCGATGGTTCGCCGGCTCGCGGTTCCTCCCGGCGCGTTTGCTCTAAAAATACACTAAATCGGGCGTAAAGAAACGCGGGTGTAGGGGTGCGGGCCGGGCCGGCGCTAACGTGCGGGGGGCCGCGGGCCAACGCCTCCTGGCCGAAACAACACTCGTTTGCGCTATTGTAATATATTTTGTGTTTTTCTACTTAATTTTTTAGGTGTGGGAGGGGGATTTTGGAAATACGTACATTGGGATTTACCACGGAATTTGTAACGACACTAAACCGTACGGTCCAGCTGCTAAGCCCAGATGCAGCTAGCTACTCTCCTACCTTATCTGTCATTAATTTTGTTTTTGTGTTCCCCTCCTCGCCGTTGGCGAACAGAACAGCCCCAGGCAAATATTTGAGCACCTTGTCTACGCTCGGCTCGGCAGAGATAAGAGACTCGCGGTGCATCGTATCGCGGAGCGCTAAACCCGAGGAGGAGGAGGGGAGTGTAAAAGGTTTCGGATTCTGCCCTCATCTCGGCTGCATATGTCAAATATGCGCATTCAACATTAGGGAAAAAGTCGACAAACTACGACCACTATTTTGCAAGTCAGCGTTCCAACGTGACCGAAACAAAAAAAAAAACAGTACGCACAAGTAGGAATGGCAACCTCTCGACTTCTGCCAAGAAAAGTGCGCCAAGATTTTATCTGCCGCGTCGACCTCTACACCCAGCCTATCGAGCCAATCTGTCTCGGTATCGTATCATATCTCTGTGCGCCGCCACAGGCGCAGCAGGCGCCTCTGCCCGCCGCGCCGCGCCCCTGCCAGCCCCTGCTGGCCGGCCTTCCCTCCCGCCGCCCCTCCTCTCCTCGCTCCAGGAGAAAGCGATGCTATGCGATGCGGAGCGACGAGTTACATTGATCCGCAGAGATGCATCCCATCTTAGTCAGATCCACCTCACTGGACGACGCTTCACTAGGCGCCAACGTGATTGGCGATTTGCTAGCCTATTTTTTACATGCACTTTTGTTGAAGCACAACAGGCCATATATAGTAAAGGGCGAGATCGTCGACACTTAGTTCGGTTAGGACTTGTTCAAGCTAGGGGTGGTCCACACAAACAATTTGGGTTCTTGAGATGTATTTTCATGCAGCGTAATGCATCAATTGCATTTTAAAACACCTTTTTAAAGAGCATCTTTTTTCTACAAACAGTTACAAAATTCATTCATACATGCCAATGTGACCACAATGTGGTCTTGGCCAGGATTCACTGATGAATCTAAACGGTATGAAATTAATTTTTCATTCATTTGCCCATTCATTAAAGTTAGCTGGCTTATCCTCTTGGGAGTGGTAGGTCGTGGAGGTAATGACCACCCCAAACAACCCCACAGAGGTCTACGATGACCATTCATTGAGTAAGAAGACTGATAGGTAGGCAATTTGCATTCCAATTCGCCTGTCATTAGGCAAAAAGTGTGACATGACCTCCCCCATAATGAAAACCTAGCTGGGTGCCGGCTGTTCTCTGACTTATATTAGAAACAACTTTGTATAATTTTCCCATCACAGCAAGAATAAACACAATTTCATGGTACCAAGATCTTATTTTCTACATTTTAACCTAGAAAACTATTTGAATCAGTTTCACACTACAGTCAGTCAGAAAGATATTAAAACATAAATGGATTAAGATTTTTTAAAGATAACAATTGTACATACCTTGAATACTTCAGAGAAGAAGCCAGATCCAATCTTTTCTCTGGTGAAGTCGTCAAGCCGATTCAGGGCAGCTACAGCGTGTCTGAGAGCTTGGCATGATGAACCAGTGACACGTGAGAGTTTCCAAGTTGGAACTCCAGTCCCGAGCATGGTATCCAAAGATGCTGAGCTGGAGGAAGGCATCACAATCTTATCTGACGATAGATTCATGATGTTTGTTCCACCAGTATCACTTAATTTTTTACTAAAACCACTGTCACTACGATGACCACTTGATGCTTGGATCATCTTGAAGACCAACACAGCAGAACATCACAATTTTAAAGTTCTCACACGTAATGATTCTTGCTCTTGATATGGACAAGAAGCCATAGTTGCAAGGCAGAAATATTTTCAGAGGAAAATTCACTATTCAAAATAGTTTGCTAGGCATAGACTTCGCCCCTGTCCTGTGTTTAATGAGGCTCCTAGTGCACCTTCTAAATCCATGGCCTCAATAGGAGTTGCTCCATGGACTGAGTGTGTCCCCAGAATAACAAAACACTTTAAAACATAGATCGGTTTTTCTTGAAAAACATTCTTAAGTACACAGACGAGCAATGTTTTGAAAGTAGGCAGAAGCTCTTCTGTCAAATCCGCAGAACGAATCAGAGAAAATTGGTTTCACATGAATATTTCCGTCAGGGCATTGCCTGTGTGTTCACTCTCACTACTGCACTGACAAAATTTTAGATGCAAATACATCCAGTTCACGACCGAAAAGCTCGTTTGACAGCCCGTGTCACGAACATCAACACAGAACCTCGCGGCTCGGTCGCCATATTCTCACTGCAACGACATCTTCAGACCACTTCTTCGCTGAATGAAAACCCTGCCGTCTGCTCTTTTCTCTCCCTCTTTTGCACTGAGGATACTGCGGCTTCTCTCCGGCCAGCATCACAACAAGGCGCGTGCAGCGCTATCTTATTGCGGCCGCAGAAGGAACTACGGCTGGCGCGGTATTTTAACGGTTCAATCAAGTTTTGTACTTCTCTGTACGAGCTTGAGAGAGGACGGGGACTAAATTACTGGGAACCATATAACGAAACTTTGAGGAATTTTATTTAACTTTATACAAAATAAGTAGTAAAATAGAACTACTTACAAACAATATCTGGATTCAACAGGAATACTACTTTAGAAACCAGCAACAGAACTCCTTTTTTGACCTCAATTTCCATGAAACACATCCTATACAGGCAAAAAAAAAACCTATGCAACTTTTTAAGTTTTCTTTTTAACTAGTTTGATGTACTTGGAGGCCTGATAAGTATTCTTTTCTTCCTTGACATATTCAACCTTCTTCTTGGGATTTCTTCTGGCCAATCTTAATTTCAAATCTTCGGGTGACAATGTTGAGGTATCAAGTGGGAGCTAAAATAAATGAGCATTATGTAGACTGAATTCATAAAAGTGCACTGATAGGAGGTAAAAATTTAGTATGCATACCTGAATGATGGATCGAGGCTCATGGTAGCGAGTATAAAATGAAGAACCATCTGGTTGTACTACAAGAACACGATAATTTTTCAAATAGGATTCTCTGTGAACTTTAGTAATAAGAGCAAAGTTATTTGATATACTCCGATGTAAAAGCTGAGGGTTTGATGGAGAAGTCTGTGTCAAAATTTGTTTGACTGATGCCCAAGGAAGAAGAGTCATTCTGAAAGAGAAATCACCAGGCAGTACGATTAAGCAGGGTTGAAAGCTAACAAGCACAGAAAAATTTCGGTCCTAAGAGTAATTTTAACCGTTTATTTATTAACATACAAATAATTTATGATTTTATTTTTATTTACAGAAGGAAGCCCTTACCGACTGAAGAGGTTAGATTGTGACATGTTTCCGAAGGTGTTGTTCTCTCTTTGATAATTTAATGAAACCAAATAGCGATTTGACAACACATGAGGATATAAGAATAGATACAAAAGAAGTAAATAAGACTGACGAGTCCGCTACTGCCCGTTCTACATCACCCAAAATCTTTCGCACATTTACTTTTGGACCAAAAAGCAGCCGACGCAAATCACGAACAGCTACGAGAAATTTACTAAACGTAAATATGTAAAATATGAAAAATTGTCCAATAGCCATTTCAGTTAAAAGGGAACGACCCAAAATGAGTTGACATTTCCTGTTTTTTCCTGTGTACCATGAGACAAAATATTAAAATCTCTTTGATTGGACTGACGAGTAATGTCCTCTAATTATAATTAAAATAGACCTTTTTGCCCACAAGTCAGATTTTACACTTGAAAGAAACAGTATTTTGAGTGTCAGTCAACAATGTTACGTATCACCACTCGAATCCTTGAAAATTTATTATAAAAGGCAAGATATTTTTATTTTTAGAAAACATGCCCGAATTACATTTTTAGTATGGAGATTTGCGCTGTTGCCAAAAAGGTGGAGGGGATGTGGAAATGTGTTGAACAAAATAACAAAGGTGAAAAAAGTACAAGATAAAAGGTTTTTCAAATGGATGTATTGACAAGAAATTTAGTAAGAGATAACAACTTTGGAAAGAGCTTTGAAATCACACACAATGGTATCACAGGATATAATCTCTTAAAATTAACACTGAGCAAAGCTCTGGGCCTGGGTATGTGTGAAGGCAAAATAGGCATACACTCTAGGTAGTTGAAGGGGAATGACTACTCTCTTATCATAGGACATCATGCATAGGTGACATTTAGTTTTGGAGGTGCTAGGTGGCCCTCAGCTCACTGAGTATTTACTCATTTGCAGAAACGTTCAATCAATCAATCAATCAATAGAGGACCCAGACACACGCCAATGTGCCAAGGTGGCAGAGTCCCTCGACTCAATCCCATATTATTCGAGCTACGCAATTAAGCGTACGCCGTGGGCGTCGGCAACCACCGGGTCAAACCTATAAGAGAAAGGTATAAGGCGGGACGGCCGCCCCCCCAAGCCCAGCAACGCCGGGCCCTGGACTACAGCTTAGAAGTCGTGGAAGTCACTCACTTCGGGAGGGGGGCTGCCCCCGCGCTCTGCGCACGGGGACCTAGGGCCAGAGTCAAGGGTCGGACGATACGTAGTACAGGGCAGTGCAGTAAAGTAGTTAACATGCGCAATTATTAATAATAAGCAGGCAAAGCAAATTAGGCAAGAAGGGTAAAGAGAGGGCTGAGAGGCCAGGCGGGCAGAGAAGGGAGGCAGGGAGGCAACAGGAAGCAGGAAAGGGAGGAGGGAGGCGGGGCACTAAGGCAAGGGCCGAAAGCGGCACGGAGGCAAAGGTGCTCGATAGGTGAGAGAGGCAAGAGGAACAAGGGGCAGATGCCACGGGTACAGACAGAACAGAGAGGAGAGGAACCGGAAGAGAGAGGGGAGGTGCGCAGGAGGCTCGAAGAAAGAGTCGATGCCGAAGGTAAAGGGAGTACAGCCGGGCTTCCATGGCACTCGAAGGCACCGGGTGGAACTGCGAACGCGCAGCAGCGCCGCGGGACCGCATACCCGCCAGGGCTGCAGGGGCCATGGCGCCTTACGGGCGAATTGGGTAGGCAAACCCGCAACACCGCCGCGCACCCACAGTCACACCCGGCACGTTGGCGGCGATCTTCACCCCGTCACATCCTCCCTGGTACCACCCTCCAGGATAGCGCCCGGTCCGCAGTGCCCCCAGAAGGGGCAGGCCGCCACGGGTAACTCGCCCCCGCGCCCATGCTTCAACAACATGGTCGGAGGAGGGAGCACCCCACAACAGCCCGCCCCTCAGGAGGCACCGCTGGTCCGGCACCAGGGCCGCCTCTGGCCTCTTGCTGGCCCTGGTTGTCCGGGGACCAGCACCGCGTAGGCCGGGAATGGTTTCCGGTACGTTGACGGCTGTGGTGGTCTTCACCCCGTCCCATCCTCCCTGGCACTACCCTCCAGGGCAGCGCCTGGTCCGGCACCAGGGCCGCCTCTGGCCTCTTGCTAGCCCTGGTTGTCTGGGGACTGGCAACGCGCTGGTGGGGAAAGATCTAAGACCTAAGAAGCGGGAACGATGGGCCACACCACCATGCAGAGCGAAGGTATGTGACAATTATTAGAAAAGGATTAGGCAGTGCATAGCGACAGAGGTGAAATAAAGCAAGCCTAACGACAGTCACGTTTGAGCATATTAGCAAGAGGCAAGGCACAGCACACAGGCAAGCAAAAGATAGCATGCGAGATTTGTCCGACCCGCTCTCTCCCCAGGCAAGAGGGCCACGAGGAGGCTTGCCACGACTGAGGTTGGCTAGTCCAACCTCAGCCGCCCTCACCCTTTACTCATTTGCAGAAACGTTGTATTAAAACTATAAAGCTTTCCAAGGCAGAGCGACTGAAGTACTATCACCCCCTAAACTAAACAAAACCATGGTGCTTGAATAGTCTATATAATTGACTCATATACAATCTGCACCGGGTTTAAAAAGACAGATTTTTAAACTCCCTCCAGAAAAGTTGTTTAGAACTACATACTATATTAAACATTACTGTTCAAGAATATGTAAAAATATGCTTTTAAAAAACCTTTGAAATACCATCACCGTTCCTAGATTAAAAGTATGTCTCTAAATTTTTGATGTAAAAAACAACCTGAGATAGGAATGCTAAATTTCCGTTTAAAAAAAAAAAGAGGAATAACAGGAGGTAGCCCATGTTTTAATATGGAGTGAAGTACAAAACAAATTTTACTGACTCAAAAAAGTATAAATAAGTGTACATACAATGTTTGTGAATAAAATGTAGCACTGCTGCAGTTCAAGGACCAGCCTTCACATTCTAGCAGCAGATATTAGGTACTTGAAAGCTCGAACATCAAATTATATTTGAAAGATATTACAGCTGAAGTAGTGAGCATATTTTTTGGCTGAAGTCTTGACTGTTGCATTAAAAGGAAAAGAAACAAGTTCAGAAAGCAGCATCATAACTTATTACCTTTGGCCAAACTCTCTTTCTCAAGATATGCATGAAGGTGACGCCAAGCCCGTGTTACTTGACGTTGTGTGAAATCATATGACCACAATGTTGACAAGACTGTGGTTGCGCCTTTGACCTGCTCTGCATTGTTTGATTGTGCAGACACTCTTGCCCAAGCAGCTTCTTCAGATAAGTTATTACGCTCCTTCAACCGACGTACAGCCTGGAAGATGACATATGGTAGTTTAGTGAGTGCAATAAAACATTTTAGTAATCAAATGTGAATATAAGAGACATACTTCATCAGAGGGAATAATCGAAACCCATATTTCATGACAGTGCTGTTCCCAGCCTGCCTGACGAAGAACTGCAGCTTCTACAACAATTATATTTTTACCAGAAGCATGAATTTTAGAAATTTCAAGTTTGGTACGTTCCCACAGTGCTGGCCACACCATGTTGTTTAAGGCAGTCAACTTTTCCTAAAACAAAGAAACAAAACAGGGACGTTAAATGGAGATAGACAGCAATTATGTCTATGCAAATGTTCGTCATCAATTTGGGAAATACCTTGTCACCAAATACAAGGGAACCTAGAACTTTACGGTCCACTTCCCCTTCAGCATCAAGAATGGTGCGCCCAAAATATTCAACTAGTTTATCATGAAGTGGCTCACCCCGTCGGTACAGAGTATGAGCTAAGGAATCACAGTCCACTAGACCTGCTCCCATTTCCTCCAGCCGCCGTCCAACTGATGATTTCCCACTTGCAATGCCCCCAGTTAAGCCAATAATATAGGGAGAAAAGGGTAGGTTTGGCCTTGCCTGGGAAAAAGAGAAGAATTAGAAAGGAATATTGCTTGAATGAACAAACAGAAAATTATGTAAGATACTTACCTCAGGCTTATTGAGTCTTGTTCCAAGCACTCTTAATCTTAAATTGCCTGAGCTGACTTTGTCTTCTTCTTCCTGCTCTTGCTTATTTGAGGTGACTAAGAGATTTACTGAATGAACAGCAAGTGGATTAAGGGATTTTTGTGCACGGACTTCATTTATTTTTAAGCCACCCTTCAGTGTTTCCTCACTAACAACTATCAGCTAAAATAACATTGTTTTATCAATATGATTCAAATTAAGAGGGTTAAATCAAAGCAGTTTAAAATCAATACCTCAAATGTCGGGTCATCTTTAGTGGGACCAAATGGATCACTGATGGGTACCACATCATATTCTATGTTCGGGTCTACATCTTGTAAAAATTCAAGCACATGAGACATGCGGTCTTCACATGGTTCAATAAGTTCTGACAAATATTTGCCTGCAAGCAGAAGATAGGAATACTTTTTTGAATTACAAAATTTAGAGTATTTTGGTAGCTTACTCTTAAGCATTGAGGCATCAGTCACACCAACAGTCATTTTACGTCTGCATCGTAGAACTGCCTCACTGAGCAATATTTTATGGCCTGTATGAAGTCTATCAAATGTTCCCCCTAATACAACATTATCATACATTTTATCGTCATCTGTGGTTTCTGGTTGTTGCGCTTCTGTTTCTCCGATATCAAGAGAGACTACAGTACATCCAACAGTAACGTTTGAAAGACATTTTTTCAGAAAAGCGTTCATTTCATCTCCACTGAGAACTCGGTCGAAGAACACAACATCAATTGGCTTCTTGGTATGTATGACGGACTGCATTGGATTTTTCAAGCATGCCAAGAGAATAGCGACGTCTATATTTTGATTTAGTGATTGAGAATACATTCCAATAACATTCTTGCTGTACACCACAGGACTTGGCGAAGACAAGGAAGCTGCTGTAGGAGTTAGGAGCCTTGACAGGCACTGAGGGAGATACTGAATATACAGTTTGTTGAGCAAATGTTTCTGAACATCGGGAAGCACTTTGGCTACGCGTGATGGATTTGTCACGACGAGTAGCCCTGTTTTCGCCATACTGTTGAGAACGACGTTCGAAGCCAGGTTGACAAAATTTGTCAAGATATTGATATGGTAGTGCCCTGGTAGCAGAAGAAAAGAACGACCATAACCTTCCTTTCAGACGGCTACAGCTACGATACAATGCATTACTTAGGGACAGGGGAGTGCGGTAACTATTCAATGTGTAGAATATCGAAATTTGGTTTACCCTGAAAGTCGCGAAAGGGTGACGACGTCTACAGTCGCGTGCAAGGTCGAAATAAATCTTGTTTACTCTGCATCGCTCGCACCCGCAGTGATAGGGCAATGTGCACCGAGCTGTGGGTGTTGAAGTCTACCGCTAGGGCTGTCGTCATTCGCCATCACGCCATCTCACCTACTCCCACGTGATCACGCCACAGTCAAAGGTGTATGGTGAGTTGCATACCCACGGGGCGCAAAGAGTGAATTTCTTAAACGTTCCCATAGTCTAGTGCGTGCGAAACTTTTAAATATCCTTTCCTAATTAATATTGACTGTTTGTAGCTTCAATTAATGAGGTCGGTAAATATTGCACACCCTCCCTATTGATAAAATGATAAATAAATATTAAACGCGCATCAGGCACTCGCTAAGCCCAGCGGAAGTGTGAATTGATTATTTATTTATTTTCCCTGTGTCTTCAATGGGCTGCTTTGGCTAAATGCAGCCTTCTTTGGGTAACCACGTGGGGCAGCGGCTGGCGGGGATCTCCTTCGGCAGCTGCGGGGAAGTCCTGGGGAGGAAGATAGGGTGACGCGGCGGCGTTACAAAGATATGTGAGACGATCGCAGAGCTCATTCTGACTACCCAGGGGGAGGCACCGGACAGTCCGACGGTGGATCTTGGGACCCAAATAAGGTCTCGACGACGTGTTCCGCGACGTCCAAGTCCCGCTGCACCAGCCGACACGCAGCGCGAAGGAGCGCGCACTCTGTGCCCGTCATGGGCCCCAGGGGCTGCACGCGCGCACCCCCGATGTGTAGCTCCACGGGGCACGTCAGGTAGGGCACCTGCTGGAGCACATGGGGGAAGTCCGCGCCTCACATGAACCCAGGACGCGTTAGTAAAGCAAGTACACGGCCCACATGCAGAGTGGCACACGAGGAAGGGGGTGGAGGAGCCTCCCCTACCGTCTCTAGGGAGCCGCCTGAAATATTGGCAATATTCCCCAAACAAACCGCTGCATTGTGTGTTGGCTACGACCCTGACACACGGTTTGTACCCCCCCCCCCCCCTGCCTGACAGCTGGAGCCAGGCGCGGTTTTAAGCTCAGCTGCCTGAGCGGGTCGTGTATTGCGGGTTGTCTACTTCCAGGGAGTCTGTCTGGGTCAGGGTTTATTTATTGCCTACCTACCAGGCGGCTTCCTTAAAGCTGATTAGGGGGGCGACTTGGGACGAGGACGAAGGGGGGTGGGGGGTCACTATGGAAGTCCAAGGAGGAATCCGGGTGCTCAGGAAGAATCATGAGATATGTGTTTCAGCCCCCACCCCAGGAAATGGGAACTCTTCTTTCCACCTGAATGTCCTCCCTACATCCCTTGCAAATTCGCACACTGTTTTAGCCATAACACGGGTGTATCCCCCCACCCTACCCCCTAAAAGGAGTTCATCGTTCATACACATTTACACCAGATAGGAGGTTGCAGGCAACGAACGCGTGCTCTCGGACACCCCTCTCCCCCAGGAGGGCGTGGATGACGTTGTCCGTGAAGCGCGCCGCGGCGAACGCCACTCCCATGGCCGGCAGGGCGTTCTCGGTGCGGAGCCGCGCGAGTCGCCCGCCCGCCGACTGCACCGCGGACACCACCGCGCCCGCCTCCAGCTGAGGAGGGAATTCCCAGGCGAGTCCTAGCCCAGCCTCGCGATTTCGTTGTCGGTAGGTACAGGGAAGTCCATACCTTGGTCAAGGTGTTCCGCACGTTCACCTGGCTGACGAGGGGCACGCAGGCCGACGACGACGTGCCCCCCGTGATGGGCACGTCGATGTGGAACGGGTCCTCGTCCACGAGCGCGCCCACCACGGCGGCGGCGCGGGCCTTGGCCACGGCCGGCACGCCGAGGACGCGGCTCTCGGGACGAAGTACTCCGGCACGCCGAGCTGCCTCCACCACCACGGGCACCACGCCAGAGATCGGGGCGCTGAGCACGAGGACCACGGCCTGCGTGGGCACGGAGGCGGAGCAGGCAGGTGGTGAAAGGTAAAGAGCCTCAGAGTGAAAGAGTCGCACGGGTCACGTGACTTGCTCGCTTCTGATTGGTTTGGTTCAACTGGGGCGGAAAACGCGTGGAAAAATTTTTCATACTTAGCAGACGACCCAGCCTCACTAAATACGTGATATTACATTTGTCTGTTTGACTAATTTCACTTTGCTAGACGAAAAATATGAACGAAATAATGCTTTTTATTCATTTAAAATAGGCTACAAAGAATTGCAAGCTTTCGATCGATGAGTTAATCCATAAATATTTGTGGATTAAAAATCGCTTCCAGCATGGCTGCTCCGGCTCGGCACTGGAGCGTGCAGGTTAGGTCACAATATTATCCATTTTCATCCGGTATTACATTAGTAATAAGGCTGGCAGAGTGTTAAAAAGTACTCCTGAGTATTAATATAGACTTTCTTTGATAATTATTCTTAGTCAATATTTGTCTTTCATTCTAAGATCTTAATTGTAAAATAGTCATAGTTTAAATGCGCGCCTAAACAGTTGACGACTACACGGTATGAAAAATATTGCGGTCACCTCAACTCCCCACTTGAACCAGTCACGTGACCCGTGCGACTCTTTCACTCTGAGGCTCTTTAGTGAAAGGGCGCGAGGCAGGTGCGAGGGTAGGAGAAGTTTCACATCTGAAAAAAACTCCACAGAAAGTCGAATCGAGCCTCGCTGCTTCATCACTTTGCTCTACTACAATGTGAATGTGCGTTTCTCCATCCCCTCCCCCTCCCCTCCCAACCCGCCCCATCTAGCAGAACTTATCCGGCTCAACGTTACTCTTCTAAAAGGGGAAAAAACCATGGATCTCCTTAATCAGCAACAGGATCGCGTGGTCCGAGCGCTAGAACAAACATTTGAAAAGTTGAAAAGTGGAAGGGAGCTGCGAGCACTCAAGGTTAATTTTAATTTTACAAACTTATTGGCCATAATAACGTGGACTTAGGAGGTTATGTTTCAAAGTTCATGACGTTTGATAATGAAATTCACTGTCTTGTGAGTGACCGCTCTGTTGATTTTTGAACTCTGTCAGAATTTCTGCTCAATGCTTTAAAGTGCTAATTTATTAAAAGTAGCTGAAGCTGTAGAACCTTTGCTAAGGAAAGCTATGAGTGAACTTTCATCATCTCCTTAAAGTGAATCGCTTTTGAAGAAATCTATTAGTTTTGTGAATTATAGCCATTGTTATAGTATTGCATTTAATTTTGTATTGACACTTTTATTTTTCAGGCTAAAGAATACCATTGTCAAGCCCGCTGCTATGAAAATGAGCGAATAGCAGACGATCAGCTTGAGCACTGTGCTAATAACTGCTCTATGCCTGTGGCAAGGTTTATTAATTTTGTTAACAAAGAGTACAGTGGAGTTGTTGTAAGACCTTTATCTTTTAACTCTTAGCTAGTTTTCTTTTGTTACCCGTAATCTTCTTTACTTAACTTTGTTTTTCCTGAATACAACAGGAACGAACCAATCGTTGTGGACTGCAATGTTTGGATGCAGAGAAAGACAGAATGGGATCCAAGTTTGAAGAGTCACAAGTAAGTCAGACACACTACTGTGTCAATTGAAACTTTGAGTTTCAATCTACCTATGAGTTCTTATTTTTATTTTTCATTGCAGAACATTAGTTTTTCCAAGGAGTTCCAGAGTTGTGTAACTCGTTGTATAGACGACTGCCTCAATATTCACATGCCCAAGACTCAGAAAGAAGTTCAAAGGGAGCTCGCTTCTGTGAGAATCGACTAGCGAATAATATTAAGCAAACACTTACACAATATACATCTAGTTAAAATACAAATTGTTATAGTACCAATGACTTTTATTGACGTCCTACCTGCTGCATGACACTAGACTACCTGCTTATAGTACCGAAGACTTTAATTGAAGTCCTACCTGCTGAATCACTTGCCCACCTCGGGACAGTGCTGTCCGATGAGTGACACCACCCGGGCGGCCTGCTGCGCGTGCTCGACGATGCGCGCCCGCCTCACCCCGCCCGTCTGCCTAATGGCCGAGTTGGCCAGCAGGACGATGTTGGCGTCTCGCAGGGCCGCGCCAGCCTGGTCCGGCGGATGGTGGAGGACCAGGGCCCTGTTGTCGAGTCCGTTGAGCTCGCTGGCCAGGTCGCCGCAGCCTGGAGATGCGTCCACCAGGGCCAACTCGTCCAGCTGGGCCGACTGGTGCAGCAGCAGCGCGAGCGGCGGTCCCAGGCTCCCCGAGGCGCCAAAAACGGTCACCTCCACAGCAGCGCTCGCTCAATCGTGTATACTCGCCTCTCCCATTATAGTCTTGGTCCGTGCGATGATCCACACATTACCTTCATTTTGTCACAATTACTGCTGCCACGGTCGACAGTGGTGCTCGCGAATGGCCGGACGAAATTCAACCGTTTGGCCCTCACAGTTTGGGCAATAAGTCTTGATACAGAATACATTGCGGGGGTGGGAGCGAAATTCTAATCGTTCGAACGAAATGTGTTTCCGATTTTCGAATAAACGTGGCGATGTAGAATGTAGAAGCTTCCTCAAGGTAGAAGCAACAACGAATCTGCGTCAATAACAAATTTGGCGCTTCATAAGTTGCGTTTTTTTGGACGGTTGTCGTGTCTTGTACAAGGCGGTGGGAAACTGAACGTAAACAAACAACAGCTGATCCGCTGATCACCCCAGCAGCAGGTTTACGGTCAGGCGTTGTATCCTGGTCTGGTTATACGTTTTTCTTTGCCTGAAAAGTCGCCGTCATGTCTTTCAGAGACGAAAGTTTTGGTGATGTATGTCAAAGGGCACTTATTCTTTTAAATGACCAACAAAACATTTTGAGCTGTTTTGTACATCTTTTCTTAACCTTTTGGTGTACTTGTTTGTTTCTCTGTAAATGTGACTTTTCATTTTTGATTGAAAATTTGAAAATGTTTGAACTGATCTTTCATTTTTCTGAAATGATATGGAGGATTATGATTGCCCTTGTTGACCCGTAATTCTAACGCAACTATTTTACGGTGTTCTGGAGTAGCCCAGTTGCTTGGAAAGTGTTAAAGACTAACTATTTTATTTTTTATAACAGGAGCATCCTCGCAATCTTATACCAGAACTTTCTCGTCTATTTTATGACCTGGGATGGGTGACTGGAACGGGTGGTGGCATTACTATTAAAGAAGGGTAAGTGTATCATTTATGAAAGACTTTTCCGCTAAGTCTCATAAGGAAATGAACTATGCGTACATTATGTTATAACTTGTTTCTCTTAATATTATTATGGTGTGATAAATGGAAAGAAACGAAATTTATATTGCTCCCTCTGGAGTCCAAAAGGAACGGATAATGCCAGATGACTTGTTTGTACAAGACATTAATGGTAAAGATATTCATCTACCCCCAGTAGAGAAGAAACTCAAGAAGAGCCAATGCACTCCACTGTTCATGTGTGCCTATACAAGTAAGTAATCAAATGTGTTCCAGTAATTAAATAGGGGAGAAAATTTGTAAATGGATGTATAATTTTGCAGAAAGAGGTGCAGGAGCAGTGATCCATACTCACTCCAAATCTGCTGTTATGGCCACTTTACTATACCCAGGCAAAGAATTTTTTATAACACATCAGGAAATGATAAAAGTAAATAAATAAAAAATATTAACATAGTGAAATATTTGGATTACTACAGGGTTGAATAATTTTCTCTCTTTCTCTCTAGGGTATACTGAACCAGAAGTTAGGAAGGAACTATATGTATGATGAAATGCTGGTTGTGCCCATTATTGAGAATACTCCTTTTGAAAAAGACTTAGAAAGTAGTTTGGCAAAGGTCTTGGAAGAGTACCCTGAAACCACTGCAGTGTTGGTTCGCAGACATGGTGTATATGTTTGGGGCAACAGCTGGCAACATGCCAAAACAATGTAGGTTGTAAAACAAGTACGCAGTAGTATGTTAAGTCTCTCTACAAAGTGGGTCCAATAAGTTTTTGTTATCTTTCAGGACCGAGTGCTACGATTACCTATTTGATATTGCAGTTCAAATGAAGTTGCATGGGCTTGATCCATCCCAAACTCCAATGGAATATGAGCTGAAGTTACAAGAAAATAATGGAGGTTGCAGTCAGGTGCCAACAAAGAAACAAAGACTACTTGAGTAAAATATATTAATTATCCTTGATGCTGATAAAAACTCCAAAACATTTCCATAGTAGAGTAAAAGATACATGTCGTGCAGTAAATTCAATGTCAGTAAACTCATCCTGTAGTTGTTAAAGCCAATCTGAATGCCAGTTCAATTAAGTTTTGTGGAGCAGAATCTTCATAGCAGACATAAACCTCTTTTGGAGATGGCATGAAGAAAAGACGCCTGGAAAAGTGTACTCATGGTCACCATGTGTCTTCTAATTAAAATCATATATTTTTCTATTTAATACAGTTTATTATTTGAATCCAAACTTACCCAACAACCCAGTAGGTTAACTGAGAAGTAGACTTTTCATTTCCCCGTGCTGGAAGAGAGTACTCAAAAAGGACTCCAAATTCTTTGATTGCCACTAATGATTTATTTATTAGTGAGTGACTTGCTTCTGCACTTTTTAATTTCTGCACAGGAAATATGATTATTTTTGAAACTCTTTGAAGGATTTTAATACAAAAGCAACAAGATTAACAATATATATCTTATCTAAAAAAAATACCTTGAATGAAATTGTGTTTTGGAAAAGTGTGTGTATGTGCATAGCACTATGACGGAATTTTGATAGAATATCTGAAATTCCCAATGATTTACAGGATTTTACTGGACTTAGCAATACACCTTCTGATGTATCCAAATGAACATAATGAAATACAATATTTTCAACGCCCATGGTTAGCCTGTAACAAGATGCAGCACTTTTTATGTATAGATAATCAATAATATGAGATTTAAAAACAAAAATACATGTAAATGCAACAGAGGTTAAACATCTTACTTCAAAGGCACTGTTCCTTCAACATTTTTAAGAAGAGAATTGTGCAAATCTGACAAATCAGTGGTGCTTGTATTTCTTTGACCTGTATGAGTCTGTAGTGAAAATTAAAACTGGTGAAAATTTGTTTTTAACTAGAATCAAAGTATAACTGATTTATTTCTTACATCACTAGCGTCCCAATCAGAGTCCGAGTCTTCTGATCCATCATGGTCAGAATGTGAAATGTGAGTGCCGCCATGGTCCCGATCTGCTCTTAATCTTCCAGATGAGAAGACTGGATCATCACTTGGTAGACTGGCAACAAGACTTGCTGAATCCTCTGATGTTTCTCCACCATGTAAAATACCTGGTTAGGTGGTAAATTTTTGTGTGGTAGAAAAACAGGATGGAAACAGAACAAAATTCATTCTTAGAAGAATACCTGAACTAGAATGATCAGGGCTTTGTCTTCTCCTCCCTGCAACAAGTGAATCAGTACTCTTCCTAGTAGATGGGGAATTGATGATTGAGGAAAAATCTGTATTCAACCAAAAATATGCTAAAATCATGTGGACAGACAAAGCCATATATACCCAATTGACTTTGTCAATTGCTGTCTTACTGTTTTGCCATGCGTGTTCATGGTGCATCCGTAATCCTAGTAAATTGTTAACTTTGCGACTGGATGACCTTGATGCTGCAACTGTTTCAGGAGAGGTCAATTGTGGGCGTAGCTGTGTTTCAAGCCTGATTTGGAATTATAGTGTAATCAGAAGAAACCTCATAATTATATTTAGGTATGTGGAAGTGGATAATATACAGAACTCACCATTCCGATGCTATATTAAAAACACCTATCTTCCTCAAGTGCTGAAGTGTATCCTGAGCAGCTTCAACATACAGCACATCAGGTGGTGGATGTCCATCAACACTGTAGAAAGTTTAACACTCTAATAAGTCCCTGGTGATTCACAATAAATGTGGAAATGGTCACTGAACTCTAGTCAACTTACTTAAGGCTACAGCCACCTGCTTCAAGAAGTGTCACCAGCATATCCTGTTTCTTTATCATTTGAGGGACAAACCACCACAAAAAAGTTGATTTTCAAAACACAAAAAAGGGCAAAATATGCAATACCTTTCAAATCTGAAGAATAATGTGATTTACCTGTCCTACAATCATAAGGAACCATCGCCCTTCAGGATTTGTATAGGCAGATAATGTATCAGATCTTGCCAATAATTGTTCCTTTGAAAGAAATGATGGGTAAACTTCTCTCCAAATGACTAACGACCGAACTGACTCAAACTGATTCAACTGAACAAGTCCTTGTTGACGGCAAAATGCATGAACATCCAGAAGATCTAAGTGAGTTAAGTGGGAGCCTAGCAAGTACCCCTGAAACCATGGAAGGCATCCAAATAAAACAATAGGTTGGCCCTCAACTCATAGCAAAGCAAGTTTATGTTAAATGACATTGTACCTTGTGATACACACAGCAACCAAGAATAGTAAAAAGCCTTTGAAAATCTAGATCTTCACACTGTGAAAAATAACACATTAGTTATCCAAATTTTTAAAGGTTCCATAAGACAATGTAAACCTCTAAAAAATAATAATATTAATTTTGGCACTCAAACTTACAGAATCTCCTATGTCATTGGACTCTAGTTCACTCAAAGCATCGTCAATCTGAACCTGGATGGAAAAAACAATAATGACAGACTTAAACCAGCTTGCCTTTTTGTATAACATCCACACAATAAAAATTTACCTGAGCCTCGCGAGGCAGAGGAAGTACATGAGCAGCTTGCAATATGAGCTCAAATTGTGGACGAGTATTATAGGTTTCAGTCGTCATATTGCGAAAGGTAGTACAATCAGAAATGTCAGCCCATTTATCAGCTAAAAGTATACGTGATAAGAATGTAGAAATTGTGTGGTTTAAAGTGGTATGGTCATCCTGTGATGAAAAACATCTGAAAATTAAAAATTATTTTAGAAGATAAAATCGCTTGACAGTTGATAGCAGCATAATAGTTACAGTTAAATATCAGTCTACCTTGAAAGTGTTTGGTGGGTAAACTGCAGGAATTTTACCAGTTCATGGCACTGTTTTTCTGCCTCGTGTATAGAACACCTACAATCACAAAAATTAAGATTGGTTTTCAAAATGAACTACCATAAAAACCAACAGTGTATTGCTTAGAATACTGAACCTGTTATTTGGGACTGCAATAAGTAATAGTTCACGGCCTTCCTGCACATAGATAATGTGTACCACCTCCCCATTTACTAGTATGGAAGAGCTGTATATCATACACATAAATTAGATGAGAGAATTAAAATAAATCTTCTAAGTCAGAAATTACAAGTACTACCTTTTAGGTGTCGAATGAGTAATGTCGGGAATCAACTGGAAAAGAGTTAGAAATGCACCTCTGACGGATCCAAGAATATTAGATTTAAAACTTCCTGGGTAACAGTAAAGAACCCCTTGATCTTCAGGTCCACCCTCAGTTAGTCCATCAAGCTGGAGGTACAAAACTCCAACAGGTGAAAGAAGAAGCATTTTCTCAATTTCAGCTGAATATATGCCCTCTTTAGAAATTCTTTCAGCGAGAGGTGTTTGGTATATCTGTATTATAGAAAGAGGGACTACTGTCAAAGGTTGCCTTCATTTGATAGAATGGCTAAGAAAAAATGGTCCTATCCTGCTCACCTTGACCGTTTTCTTGTCTATGTTAGTCTTTTCTATGGAAGTCTTGGGCTTTGATAAAACACTCAGACTGAGCTGAAAAAAATACAAAAATAATAGAAAGTTATAATCTTATCTACAAAAAAAATATCAGAAGTTAGACTCAGGAAAAGAAACAGGAGACAAGGACAGGGAGCACTTACTTTACATGGTACATTAATAGCTTCGAGCACAGTGTTAAAATTTTGTGCTGTAACATCTCTACCATTAATAGAGCATATCCTATCTCCTAAAAAAAAAAACAGAAAATAAAGCTCAAGTTGCATGCAGTCTGTATTTTTTGTGCCAATTAACATAGGGGTGAATATCCGCCATTAGTGTTTCAAAACTATACATTCTCTGTGATTTGTTATCTCACCTAATTTTAACAAGTTTTGCTGGGCTGCAAGGCCTTCAGGAACAAAGTCAGTTATAATTACAGCTGATTCTTCATTGGTAGTGACTAAGCCTAGAAGGGTTTCACTGACTGTGGCCCGGCGGCCTAAATTTGGCTTTACCCAGGGATCAACATGTAGCTCCACTAAATGAGAACTCTGTTCCTAAAATTTTCAAGGTGACATGGAGAAATATATAAGGATAGTTCAAAATTTGAATATTTTTGAGATCCTACCTGAGGAGTAGAAGCTACCTCTTGAGGAGATGTAATTTTTTTTTTTTGTTTCCACCCATCTTGTGAATTACTGCCTTTTGATATATTGTTATAATGTCTCTTGCTTTCTCTTCTACGTATAAGTCGAACTAATTTCCCTGCAACAAGATTGAAATTTTTAAAAGTTTCTCACATATTTTGAATACAGCTGTTTGCCTACAAAACAAGGTTTTAAAAAGCTGAAGCTGCAGCCTGCAGCACTTTGGCTACTCTACAATAATTTAAATAACCAATTTACCTCCGTTTGTCCATAATTTTGATGAGGGAGCTTTTGATGGAAAACCATCTGTAATGCTACTAATGTGCACACTATTTGAGTCAGTGTTTCGCTTCTGTTGTGATGGGTCTGATTCAATATAAGTTAGTCGTCCATCGTATCTTATTTCATTTTCCCATACAACAGACCTATAATTGTTCAAAATACATTAAAGAAACACACAAGAATAGACACTAATTTCCAACAACACGCTCTTTAAGTATCAACTTTGGTTAACATACTCATCTCCAGAAGCAGAATCTGAACACGAGCTGCAAGATGATGAATGGGAACTTTCCCACGATTCCACTTGACTACATAATTCATTATCAGAACTTATGTCGCTCCCGTCTGAGTAGTGCTCAGAGACAACAGAATGCTTGCTTACAACTATATTTTCACGGTTTGAATGCATTTTACATCTATTTCACAGCAAGATCCATTAACTTTCTTACATACAAGTCAACGTATAATCATGATGACCCTAGTTTGAGGAAACAGAATAATAACAGAATTTTAAGGGTCCAAACTACAATGATATGCGTGTATGAGTAATCAGGAAACAAATCCCATCACAGATAACTAACCTGCTTTACTTCTGATAATTAGCTTATTCTTTCCATCAAAAAACGGTATATATTAAACTCAATATTATTTTAAAACTGCTTGCATTCGAGCTTCTTCTGTGTTCTCATGTCAAGGCAATCACCAAAATTCAACGGCTTTTACAAGTCTCTCTTAAAAAGAAGTTTACTTTTTGAACTCTCCAGCTCTAGCTCCAGCATACCAACAAACAGGTGTTTTGCTGGAGAGAGGCCGCTGACCGCAGGATCCGCCGGGCCAAGGGTGGCCGGGGATGAGGGGGAGGGGGGAAGCATGGGACCTGCAGTCATTTGAAAATCGCGCCATTCGCGTAACCGGAGGTTGGTTCAGAGACTAAGACGAGAAACTTCCGGGCTTCCACCTCTGCTTTGGCTAGGCGCCTAGATAGACAGATCAAGGATCAAGGCATAGGACTTTCTAACCTTTCCGTATTGTCAATATTTCATTCTACTGCTTTCGCAGAATGTTGGTTGGTCTAGCGCACAATCATTCTTTCATTAAAAAGGCATTATAAAAGCTTTTATTTGTCCGTAATATTGTTGGACCTCGAGAAACCACTGATTATGCTCAAGAAAATCAAGGAAGTGTGTGTGTTATGGCTCTGGAGCCAAGACCACAACAAAAACAATATGATTACTTGTTGAAATTTCTTCTTGTGGGGGACAGTGACGTTGGGAAACAAGAAATTTTAAGCGGCCTAGAAGATGGATCGTCAGAATCCCCGTTTTGTAGTGGGAGTGGTAAGTATTAATAACATAAAATGTCAAAATGGTCCAGTTCAATTAACCTCATTATTAATGTTCTATTTTCTGGTCTAATAGTATTTTTCTCACTGCCCATTTGGTAATAACATCCCCTTCTGCTGTTTAAGTACCCTTGGGTGTGGTATAATTTATCTACGTGATGCACCAGCTACTCAATACCTATACTCCACTTCCCAGTCCATTCAAACAAACTGACAAATTTTTGTTATTCATTCTCTTCTTTGAGTTAACAGCATCATAAACATTTTTTTGGTCAGCTTTTGCTACTGAGTGTTAAAGCATCCTTACAAGTTGTTCTGACTATACTTTATCCTCTTTCAGCTTACAAGACAACAACAATTTTGTTGGATGGGAAGCGCGTGAAACTACAACTATGGGATACATCTGGTCAGGGTCGATTTTGTACCATCATAAGATCGTATTCAAGAGGAGCACAAGGTATCCTACTTGTTTATGATATTACAAATAAATGGTCGTTTGATGGCATTGACCGCTGGCTGAAAGAAGTTGAAGAGGTATCGTAAAATTTTTCTTATTAGTTGAGATATATTAGCATACTACACAAACATTTTTATTCTTTCTGTTATTGCCCTCAATTCTATCCACTATTTATCCTTACAGCATGCACCAGGTGTTCCCAAAGTACTTGTAGGAAACCGACTTCACCTAGCTTTTAAACGTCAAGTTGGCACTCGTGAGGCTGAGTCATATGCTGTTAAAAATCGAATGTCTTTCTTTGAGGTTAGTCCTTTATGTGATTTTAACATTAGAGAAAGCTTCAGTGAGTTGTCTCGTATGGCACTACATCGAAATGGCATGGAAAGGCTGTGGAGATCAAATAAAGGTAGGTCAATTAACTTGTCAATCAATCATAATAAAAAGTAATTAGCAAAACATCAAATACTTGAAGTACAAATAATCATGTTGTCTTACAGTCCTGAGCTTGCAAGAATTATGTTGTCGTGCAATTGTGGCCCGCACCTCTGTGTATGGGATTGATCAACTCCCTCTCCCTGGTTCAATCAAGTCACATTTGAAGTCATATGATTTAGCCAGCTATTCAACGACATCTATGCATCGATATGTCATGAACAACAATAGGAATCATCTCCTTGCATCTGGTAAAATGGGAACATTATCAGGAAGCAAGAAACTTCGTTTTGTAGGAATGGTCTGCCCTACATCATCATCAAGCACAACGCCATCTTCGGGTAGTGTTCTTGATAATAATCGGACTAGTTGTGCAGGCCGCAACTCATGTTGCATCTCATGATTTCTGTGGTTCTACTGTGTGCTATCAATTGTGCTGTGAATGTAATCTTTGTTTTATTCTCTTTGTCTCTGCCTATGGTCTTGTGATGAATTTTGACTCGACTACTTCATTTCTCCCCTTAGAATTGGCATTTTCTACACCAAAGTGAGCATGTATATAAGATATATGTATATATGTAGATTTAAAGCTCTCTTACAAATGTGTTTTCCTGACTGTAAATCATCTGCCTTTAGTCATTTTAACAGTTTGAAAGCAATACAGTAAACTTATTGGTGAGAATCTCATTTTGATATGTGGCTTTTGTGTAACCATTTTCAGTATTCTGTTTCTTCTTTCACTTATTTAAGTGGTTGTAGTATTGTTTGATGTATGTACTCTGCTGTCTGTCATTACTCTACTATGACCATTAGAATTGACCGTCCAATCATATTTGTACTTCTAGTTTGATACAAAAACAATTTCAAAATCTTCCCTTTAAAAAAAAGTAATATTAATTATCTAATCTGAAATTTAAATTGAGAGAAAATGAGGATGAAGAGTGTGTAAGCTGCTTTCAAGATTCAAGGCTTTTTTTCTCTAGTTGTAAAGTTACTTTTCTTCTACAATTTATTGTTATAGTGATGATGGGGCAAACGGTTTCTATAACAAACTTTTGTGAAGCATTCGTTGCGACCCGGTTTGGGTTCTTTTAGCCAAAACGAGTTGAAATTGTACACTAGTTCAAGGTCCTGTTCTGGTTCGGTTGGATTTGCAAATTCGGGGTTTGCCTTCTCACTAATTTTTTTGGTGCTCACATTCAATTTAGCTACATGTTAATTTATATTCATGCAGTTAATCTAAAGTCTCTTTTTGTTTGTGATATACTCAGGAGATCTACAGATGTATGTCTCCTGATATACTTCTGCTTCATGTACTTCTCTGTCCTTATACCACAAAATTGAATGTTTCACTTCATGGTATGTAAAAGCAAAAGTGACATTGAGGGTTCAGTTGACTTTCAGCACTACCCAAAACTACTGTTTGGAATAGTTTTAAAAGAAAACTTAGGAAATATACATTCCAATCAAGGTATCCAGAAGGTACCTTCATGGCAGCTTATGTACTTTTTTCACCATATTGTGTTTTTAATTTGTGCTTCTTGTAAGTCATGTAGTTTTGTAATTAATTTTTACAGTGATAATGGACACCTGCATGTATCAATTATTACCTATTTACTGTGTACAGCACCCCATATCATGTGGTCATGTTTATTCTGTTAATGGACAACCATAACCATAACAGCTATGGTTTTGTTCTCACAATATTGGATTAAATGAGGAAAATTATACTAACTGAATAATCTCTGAATTTGCATCATCTCATTTTCATTTAATATGTTTGTAAGAGAGAAGTGTGTACATATAGGCATCTATGAAAATCTTACTGTGACTGTGACTTATACCTTGTAATTATGGAAAATTAAAGCAACTGCTTTGATAGGTTGTGTCTTTTTAGTTTATGAAAGCAATGACTCTATGGAGGGGAAGCCCTAGAAAAACATTCTCACCAAGCTGAAAAATCAGGATTGTTTATATTTTGTTTAAAAACAAGAAAACGGACAACATCACAAATTTAACAGTTTAAAAAGACACTCCTTCTTTGCATGCAAACTTATGTACTTACAGAGAAAATGTACAAAAGAGAGAATGAAAATATACAAACTTCATTACATATGTATAAACTTACTTAGTGACTTCCACTAAAAGTAAAGATCTATTTGACAATTCTCATTGCAAATTGCCCCTCATCCTTTTAAATTAAAAATATAAAAAAAAAAGAAAATGTCAAAGGAAAATCAGACTTATGTGTTGATACCGAGCAGAACAAATGAAACTTCACCTAAATTCATAAATTTGAATACTATGTTCTGGAACATGACTGAGTGTTAAGGACTGGTACCTGCAAAAGAAAATTGAAACCAAATACTTGATATGTAGGATACCACATTACAGAAACTGAAAATCAAGGGAGAGAAGTTGTAAAAAAGGCAGATGAAATAGAGCAATATGATATAGGCTTACCATTCGGAACTTCTATGGTAATAGTAACCCTCAATGGTTGCTGCTGATTTACGGAAACATATATAGTAAAATCCTGCAAATGATGCTCCACTAATATCCTTGATAGTGTGGTCAGGAACAAGAAAATGTTCTTTCCATCTCATGAAGACATAATCAGCCTCTTTCAAGTTATCATAACTGAAAGTATCTGAATTGAAAGTTTTGGCATACTGGTGAAATGAGCTAAACTTACTCTGGAAAATAAAGTGTTTTAAACAATTAGCAAATTTGACAGAGTTGATTGTATGCACCAAAATTCACAGGGTAAATAATATTAGTGCACTTACCCAGTGTTTTTTGTCCACATCCTCATCGGCATCCCATTTCCTAGTAAGAAAGGGGTATTTCTTGCTGATGATTTCACCATCAAAAAAGGTGGTCAATGTGGGGAATTCTTCAGTTAACCCTTTGATCCCTAAATACCCACAAAGGTAAGAATTTTCTTCGTCAACATGCTGAAGGAGGAAAGAGAAACAGTAGTTCAAATAATGGTAAAACAAAAATATACAAAATTATGTGAGCTTTTCGAGTGGAACAGACTTTAAAGATAGGGATATAAATTCAAGGCTACACAAAGAATACCTTAAACTGAAGGTGATTGTCATTATATGCTCATTTAAGGTAAATCAAACTATAGAAGTAAGGAAAGCGATAAGAAAAGAAGCAAACAAACAAGAAGTGCATAATGGGAGTAGCAAATATGAGACTTTAACAGAAGTTGTAATGCACTGAACTGCTTATTCTAAATAAACTGGTCCTGGCAACACCCACCCACATACAAGATCTGGCTCAATCAGATAGCTTGCAGCAACCTATTGTTAACATATTCAAAAGGGCGATTGGAATGTGATACCAAACTAATAACTCCGAAGATGACATCCCATGACAGAAGAAACTTAACGAGTTAAAAGTTTTAGGCTCTAATGGGCCTAATGACGATCAAGATTTAAGAGAGGCAAAAGACCTAACCTGCAAAACAACTTCGACCTCGTAGCTATTTCCTTTCGACTTCTGGGAACCTTGAAAACGGGAGCCGTTGTACAATAAAGATTTTGTTACGCCAGGCTGTTTAGAATTAGCTGGGGGAGGAGGAACGATTTCAACTCGAACCGGCATTCTGACATTCACGAGCCGAAATCCAGGCGCGAACAAAACTTTAACTGCAGAAGAAAGGCGAACTTGTCAGAGGGAAGACCGATTGATATTGGTATTGACATGACCAACTCTAAGTTTGTGTGACGTCACAATAAACATGTGGTGAGCCTCGTTGCAGGGTGATCAAGGATTTTGTCGGGCGGGAAACTTCCTTGCGTTGATTTCACTTCGGCCCTTTCTCGTAGCCACTCAAGCTTTCTCTTTCTCCAAGCCTTTCAGATTTCTAGCTTCCTTGTAGCTTGAAGATTTTTATCTGAGGATGGCAAGCTAATAAAATGACTTCAATCTTCAATCCATGGTTAGAGTTTATTTTGCAGATCGCATTTTATTATAAGATACAAGCCAAATATACATGATACAAGCGTTACGAATGTGCGCCCCTAGCGTGCACAAACACGAACTTTTGGCAGTTTCATTCTTTGCACATTCTTTAATTTCTGGAAAATGTCATCAAAAGTTACGCATGCTCCCGTCCAAACATTAATAGTGCGCCCAGCAGGTAGGCAACACTTCCGTCTTCTGTGCGATGCGTGCGCTGAACCCCCCCCCCCCCCTTTTTTTGCACACTCACACACAGACGCTCAAAGCTGGTAACATTCACTCTTAATTTCGATTTTTTACTATTAATTTTTCAGAAAGATAAAAATAAATCGTATAATCTCTGCGTCATATGCGCTACGGGGCTACGGTCAGTCTGGTTTTCATGCACAATCGCGTGACTGTATACGAATTGGGGGAGCAGCGCCCCCTTGCGTCCGAAATCCGAAAATAAGTTTAGTTTTGCCCGAACAACCACACACACGACCCCAGTAAAGTCGCCATTTTCTCTGAGTACAGACGTAGTGTTGATGTTAAAATAGTGTTGTTTTTGTCCAAATAAGCGTGGACTTCGTTATCTTTATGTTTGGGTTGTCCTCAAATGGCTTGCTTGAACACGTTGAAGCAAGAAATCAAAACACTAGAGTCTGTTTTCCCCAAGAATCATGAAAGGTTTCAGATAGTGGCTGCCAGTGTCGATGAGTTGAACTGTAGATTCATTGGCAAAAATGGCAAGAAATACGAAATTCACGCGAATATCACGGTGAGTGGTTTCTTGTTGATTTAAGCCGATACACTTTCCTCGCGGATGGTGCGAGTTACGTCAGAGAGATTGGGAAAATGGGTTGTCTGCGAACAAAGGATTAGCTACGCGAGTCAGCCTTTTTTAGTATCTGGGTTACTGCAATTTCTGTATCTGGCAGTCTAACGTGGAAGTTGCCATCCGCTAGATTAGGTACATTTCTGGCCATTTTATTTCCTGCGAACCTTGAATGTGGCCCCGAGTCTTACAGTTTCCATATGCACCTCTCCAAAATAAGCCTACTGCCATTAAGCATGTCTCTTAGATCATTACCTAACCTCTTCAAAGGTTTAGTGCGCTTTCATTTGGTGTGTTTACAATTACGCGTATCGAATGTTTGCGACGTACTTCTTACGGGCGAAAGTTCAGTATGACTTTCAACCGTTTAGCCTAAACTGTATTCTGTTTGTCATTTCACGACCTCTTTATGCTTTGGCTTATAAATTTTTCATTGATTTTTGACCTGTCATGAAATTATTGATGAAGGTGAAATGCTTTTTTACACTGTTGTGGAATCTGTCATCACGTACTCGTCCTGTTTAATGTTCTAATTTCCTTTTTAACACGATTTTTCTTCATTATGATTGTGTCACATGTTACCTTATGTCACTTTGAAAGAGACTAAATATGTATTAAATCACCATCCTAATTTTAAAACAAATTTGAATCTTTGCCATTTTATGCTATCCACTAACCTGTTTCTTTTTGTGGGTGCAGGAGAATTATCCATCTACTCCCCCAGTGTGGTTTGCCGATTCAGAGGAAACAAGTGTGACTAATGCTGTTCAGATTTTGAGCAATACAACTGGACGTGATAATCATGTAAATATGCGAGTTTTATTCTTTTATGAATTTAAGGTCTTTAATATCTTGTGTTTTCAATCCTTTTTGTTTGTCATTCTTCTTCCAGGTAATTAACCAAGTTGGTATTCTTTTACGAGAACTTTGCCGTTTACATAGCCTTCCAGAGTTATCAGATGTAGATCGGCTGGTTCTGCCTGTGCCACATAGCAACCACACTGTTGGTGGTGCCTCACCTGCCCCAAGGCCTTCAGATAGTATTGAAAGAGACTGTGATGATGATGAGGAAGAAGATGAAGAAAATGACAATGACGAGTTGGAAGATGAACACTTTGAAATGGAAGAGGCGGAAATAGTACAGAAAAACAAAGTAAGAGTCAATCATCCATGCATTATTAAACCTTTTCGTCAGTTTTATATTTTCCTAAGGTCAATTTATGTATTGTCTTAATGAAAATGATTTCAGGCCGATGATATGGACATAGCAAATTTAGCTCATTTGGAACGACTAAGAAACAATCAGCGGCAAGATTACTTAAAAGGGTCAGTATCGGGGTCCCTACAAGCTACTGATCGCTTAATGAAAGAGCTCAGGGACATTTACCGTTCAGATACTTTTAAGAAAGGTATGTGTAGTTCATAACAAATATTTTTTATAAATTTATTTATTTTTTGTCAGATTTATTTCTAAAATAAACTTTTTTTTAGGGATGTATAATATTGAATTGGTTAGTGACAGTTTGTATGAATGGAATGTCAGATTGATGAGTGTTGATCCAGACTCTCCACTTCACAATGATTTGGTGCTTCTCAAAGAAAAAGAGGGGAAGGATTCCATTCTTCTTAACATGCTATTCAAGGTTTGTGATTGTCTCACCTGTCAAATGCTGGCGGCTTACTTCTTGCATTTGTTAATTTCCCTATATCTCTCTCATTTTAGGAAACTTATCCCTTTGAGCCCCCGTTTGTGCGAGTTGTACATCCCGTGATAAGTGGGGGATATGTTCTTGTTGGTGGTGCTATCTGTATGGAACTCTTGACAAAACAAGGTTGGAGTTCAGCGTACACTGTAGAAGCTGTTATCATGCAAATAGCAGCTACCCTTGTGAAAGGCAAAGCTCGTATTCAATTTACTTTACCCAAGGTACAAATTCATTGAATCTGGTGTCAAGCTTTACATGGGGTTTTTGTTAAATTCATGTTATTATTTGCAGAGCCAGTACAGCCTTGCCAAAGCCCAGCAATCATTCAAGTCCTTAGTCCAGATACACGAGAAAAACGGTGAGATTATTTGAATTTTGATTCAGTTATTTTTTTGGATTTGAATTTTAATGTTTTGCTTTCTATTTCCATAAAGGTTGGTTCACACCCCCAAAAGAAGATGGCTAGTTTAAAGTGTCAGCAATTGGCACTCCAGTTGCAGATAAAGACTGAATGTCACCTCAAGTATCCGCATTATTAAAGGTTGAAAGAAAACTGATCATTCTCCTTTTACCGTACAGTACCATTCAATTTATCAATCATGCAGTGTTCATCCTTGGTTAACTTTGTGAAAGTGAATAGTTCAAAAAGTCAACAATATACCTATTTTTCTAAGTTGCATTTGTACAGTACTGTAATTAAAATGTGGATGAGCTTTTACTATGAAATATGTAGGGGTGCTTTCAAGAACTTGTTGTATCTTATCTTTATGACGTACTGAAATTGGACCCGACTTAAATGCTTTGCTTTGCAATTGTCTCAATTACCTGCATTGAGAGGAGATGATCAGTAAACTTTCACCTTCTCTACAGCAAGAAATCACCACCCTTCAGTGCAGCTCAATAAGTTGTGACTTACAGTGAAGATGAAGAATCATTGAAACAGGACACCTATTAGTGTGAAGTGTTTTTGAATTTTTCTTTCTCCATTGGCTCTCTGTGAACTTTGTGATATTGCTGTAGCCTGTGCGGCATATTGTGTGATCGCTGTAAAGTACAATAGTTACCATAGGTTCTACATGACGGAATCAAATCATCTGTCGGCGCTAACTTGTGTGTGGCATGAACTTCTTTGGAAAGGACCTCTTATCACAAGAGCTACTTCACTGATGCTTTTGTGTACAGTGGTGTCCCATGTGAATCTTCAGAACTTCTCCTATGATGAACTTATAAGGTGTTCGAGGGTAGAAGTGTGATCAGTTAATTTAGGTGTTCATCTGTAAATTCTTTTGCTTTCTGTTGTCATATGTGTATTTTAATTATTATTGTTTGCTGATTAGGGGCTCTTATTGAGGTAAAAAAGTCCCCCTACATTGGCTGTAATTTACTGACTTGACTTATGTTAAGAATGTTGTGACCACCTGTTTGTACATATGTTTTGTATTTCATGTGGAAGGAAGAAAAGTGCACGGAGCATCGTAAAACTATTGCTATTTAGCTTCTTTCTTCCTCTTCCCCTCCTTACCCTGCCAGTTGCCCATGATTGAATTGGCTTTCTTCTGCAATTTGTTTAAGTGTTGTTTTAATTCCATCATTTTAAAAGTATATATATATATCTATTAAACAAACAAAAGTTTAGCACATATTGTATATTGTTTTAAGTAATTCATCCAGTTTATGTTGCTTTTGTTACACCAGCTCGAGCTGCTGCACTAAACTGAATATTGAACCTTTAAAAAATAAAAAGATAGTAAATGTTAGCTACCCTTTTTGTGTGTTTCATTGAAGTTATAGAAGTATTTGCCAGTCAAATCAATTTTCCATTTGTTGACTTATTTTGTACAGTAACTTAAAAGGCACACATTTGTTTTCAGATCGTATATGGGCCGTAGATTTCAAAGTTTGTAATCTGTAAGGCCAGACCTTAGCGTCTGCAGTTTGTGAAAAAGATGTATTTTTTCATAAAACATGATAAAAAATAATTAAAAAGATTAAAAGAATTATTGCTTATTACATGCCAGGTTGACTATAAATAGGTTGTCAAAAAGTACTGATGGAGCACAGGCCTGCACACGTCATCACCATTTTACTTCCTCACAGAGATTAACATTAAAATGCCCTTGTATTAGAAAGAATGCAGTGAAATTCACGGAATAGTTCCTTCGCATGTTAGGGGACATTTACCGTTCAGATACTTTTAAGAAAGGTATGTGTAGTTCATAACAAATATTTTTTATAAATTTATTTATTTTTTGTCAGATTTATTTCTAAAATAAACTTTTTTTTAGGGATGTATAATATTGAATTGGTTAGTGACAGTTTGTATGAATGGAATGTCAGATTGATGAGTGTTGATCCAGACTCTCCACTTCACAATGATTTGGTGCTTCTCAAAGAAAAAGAGGGGAAGGATTCCATTCTTCTTAACATGCTATTCAAGGTTTGTGATTGTCTCACCTGTCAAATGCTGGCGGCTTACTTCTTGCATTTGTTAATTTCCCTATATCTCTCTCATTTTAGGAAACTTATCCCTTTGAGCCCCCGTTTGTGCGAGTTGTACATCCCGTGATAAGTGGGGGATATGTTCTTGTTGGTGGTGCTATCTGTATGGAACTCTTGACAAAACAAGGTTGGAGTTCAGCGTACACTGTAGAAGCTGTTATCATGCAAATAGCAGCTACCCTTGTGAAAGGCAAAGCTCGTATTCAATTTACTTTACCCAAGGTACAAATTCATTGAATCTGGTGTCAAGCTTTACATGGGGTTTTTGTTAAATTCATGTTATTATTTGCAGAGCCAGTACAGCCTTGCCAAAGCCCAGCAATCATTCAAGTCCTTAGTCCAGATACACGAGAAAAACGGTGAGATTATTTGAATTTTGATTCAGTTATTTTTTTGGATTTGAATTTTAATGTTTTGCTTTCTATTTCCATAAAGGTTGGTTCACACCCCCAAAAGAAGATGGCTAGTTTAAAGTGTCAGCAATTGGCACTCCAGTTGCAGATAAAGACTGAATGTCACCTCAAGTATCCGCATTATTAAAGGTTGAAAGAAAACTGATCATTCTCCTTTTACCGTACAGTACCATTCAATTTATCAATCATGCAGTGTTCATCCTTGGTTAACTTTGTGAAAGTGAATAGTTCAAAAAGTCAACAATATACCTATTTTTCTAAGTTGCATTTGTACAGTACTGTAATTAAAATGTGGATGAGCTTTTACTATGAAATATGTAGGGGTGCTTTCAAGAACTTGTTGTATCTTATCTTTATGACGTACTGAAATTGGACCCGACTTAAATGCTTTGCTTTGCAATTGTCTCAATTACCTGCATTGAGAGGAGATGATCAGTAAACTTTCACCTTCTCTACAGCAAGAAATCACCACCCTTCAGTGCAGCTCAATAAGTTGTGACTTACAGTGAAGATGAAGAATCATTGAAACAGGACACCTATTAGTGTGAAGTGTTTTTGAATTTTTCTTTCTCCATTGGCTCTCTGTGAACTTTGTGATATTGCTGTAGCCTGTGCGGCATATTGTGTGATCGCTGTAAAGTACAATAGTTACCATAGGTTCTACATGACGGAATCAAATCATCTGTCGGCGCTAACTTGTGTGTGGCATGAACTTCTTTGGAAAGGACCTCTTATCACAAGAGCTACTTCACTGATGCTTTTGTGTACAGTGGTGTCCCATGTGAATCTTCAGAACTTCTCCTATGATGAACTTATAAGGTGTTCGAGGGTAGAAGTGTGATCAGTTAATTTAGGTGTTCATCTGTAAATTCTTTTGCTTTCTGTTGTCATATGTGTATTTTAATTATTATTGTTTGCTGATTAGGGGCTCTTATTGAGGTAAAAAAGTCCCCCTACATTGGCTGTAATTTACTGACTTGACTTATGTTAAGAATGTTGTGACCACCTGTTTGTACATATGTTTTGTATTTCATGTGGAAGGAAGAAAAGTGCACGGAGCATCGTAAAACTATTGCTATTTAGCTTCTTTCTTCCTCTTCCCCTCCTTACCCTGCCAGTTGCCCATGATTGAATTGGCTTTCTTCTGCAATTTGTTTAAGTGTTGTTTTAATTCCATCATTTTAAAAGTATATATATATATCTATTAAACAAACAAAAGTTTAGCACATATTGTATATTGTTTTAAGTAATTCATCCAGTTTATGTTGCTTTTGTTACACCAGCTCGAGCTGCTGCACTAAACTGAATATTGAACCTTTAAAAAATAAAAAGATAGTAAATGTTAGCTACCCTTTTTGTGTGTTTCATTGAAGTTATAGAAGTATTTGCCAGTCAAATCAATTTTCCATTTGTTGACTTATTTTGTACAGTAACTTAAAAGGCACACATTTGTTTTCAGATCGTATATGGGCCGTAGATTTCAAAGTTTGTAATCTGTAAGGCCAGACCTTAGCGTCTGCAGTTTGTGAAAAAGATGTATTTTTTCATAAAACATGATAAAAAATAATTAAAAAGATTAAAAGAATTATTGCTTATTACATGCCAGGTTGACTATAAATAGGTTGTCAAAAAGTACTGATGGAGCACAGGCCTGCACACGTCATCACCATTTTACTTCCTCACAGAGATTAACATTAAAATGCCCTTGTATTAGAAAGAATGCAGTGAAATTCACGGAATAGTTCCTTCGCATGTTAGATTCAATTTTGTTATACTGTGAACTAGATGTGAGCATTGGACCCCTGATCCACAAAGTCCTGCAACTAAGATAAGCTTAAGGGAGACAGATTCCTTATCTATTCTTTTATTATTCCCTCTCTTTTGTAGAAAAACTAGGATCACTAGAAATGGGGACAGGTGTGGGACTCTGCTTTGTCAGTTCTGCGGTTGTTCCTAAACTAACATTCTTCTTTACAGAAGTAATCGATCATTTGTGTGGTGGTGAAGTGTTTAAAATTTGAGTGAATGCCATATATGGAGTTGTAGACACAGGAGCAAAAAAAGATTGGAATGAATGGGTGAGAATGTGATTGATCCAGTGGGAAATTTTGCTGAACATCAGAGTAATAACCAGCAATCACATAGAGATATTTTCTTTTGCAATTAATTTCTCATATTGGTATAAAACTACAATATAGTGTAAGGGTTCTTTTTGTAGGATCAATGTACATTTTTGTCCAAGCATTTTTAAAGGAGAGGAACCTTAGGTACATCTTTGGTTTGGACTTTCTTGCCCCTCTCTTTAATTTATTTACCTGATACATATGTATATCCAATGTATTTGTGTTAATAGACTTGTGATCAGCTAAACTTTATCAAAACTCTACCCGAGGCAAGCACCATGCGTAATAAACAGTTCTGCAGGAAAATGTACAAAATTTTAAACTGCCTCATGGATTTTCCTACCCTTGTTTTTTAACCTTTTCTTTTTTGGATTCACTCATAAACTTGGTCATCTTTAGGTTAATGTATGTGGCCTCTGAATAAAGAGAAAACAATGTTCATACTTTTCTATTTAATTTTTATACCTACGTTTAAAATATGATAAACTGAACAACAGTCTTTTGATAGATCTGCTAGATAATGAGCAGCAAGGCATTTGTTAAGTGCCAGGCAACTATCAGGGAGGATTACAGGCATCGATGCTCACGGAATAACTACAGTGCTTAAGTATACTTGACATATTAAGCATAACAAATCTCTGGCTGAAAAATATATATTATAGGTGTGAACTATAATCAAGTAGAATTGTAATCAGTCTCTGATGCCAACTTTTTGGCAGGTTTTGTTATAATACTTTTTAGCATCAAATTTTGAACAGTCCTTATACTTTGAGATTGCATATAATAAAGCCTGAAACAATAGAAAAGGTGGAGCATAAATAGAACTTGGCTTTAGTTTCATTTTCAAAGTGCTACATTTACATTACTTAAAAATAGTTCAGTTACCTCTGGTAGCATCACATTGTGTTTATAATCATAAGAATCATAATCATCACAATGGCTGTCAAGTGCTGATAAGAACTGTTCAGTCTGAAAAAGAAGACAACCATTTCATAAGACATCAAAAATCAATAAATACATATGAATAGTACAAAATAAAGAGTAAAGAAAGACTTACTAGGTCAGTAAATAGGGTGAATGGTCCAAGCCCTCCCTGAACTTTCTCCCCTTTCATATACCTTATGTGGCGAGAACTTTTGAGGGTGCCCTCTCGTATTTTCTTTAGATATTCAAAACAATCTTTTGATTGTAAGAAAGGTAACAGTTTTTCAGCTTCAGTTCTCATCTTCTCATGTTTCTATACAATTCAATAAAAACTCATAGGAACTAAGAGATCTCTCATACTTCTCATCAACAACTTACAGTTAACTTACCTCTGCTGAAACAGTCATGTGAGATGGTAAAGTTTCTAAATCTTCTAATATTTCTCTGATTCTTTCAGATTGGGGACTTACAACTTTTGGCTCCTCACCATTTTCCTCCATTTCATCATCTATGTCTTCGTTATCTACAATTTCCATATCCTCAAAATCCTCAATTTCCTCAGAATTTTTTGTTTGGCCATCACATTTTCCAGTAAGTTTGAAGAGAAAGCTTTTGGCCATCCCAACTTTATCTGATGTAGTTAAAGAAAAATAAATGTACTGAACAAGAATCAAAATACTTACCAAACTTCAGAAACATTGAACTTCCAAAGATGAACTACAATAAAGTAAGAGGAGTTACCATTTTCGTCATATGGACGTGTGAGGAAGCGTCGAGCATCTAATGTTGTATTTTGTTTTTTATTACAGTAATACCTAATAACTAGTTCATATGCTTCTTTGAATCCTGGAGTTTTATCGCCTAGTTCCTAGAAGAATAGTAAAATAAAATTAGAGAATTAAAGGGCCTCCTGATCTTGAAATACGTTCGATGAACCAAACACATACCTTCAACTCCAAGTTTTTAGAAGAATTATCAAAAGGTATCAGTCTTTTAGCATGTGTTCTACGGACAGGTTTATCATAAGCATCGATAAACAGAAAACATACATTGGGCCCCTTAACCGATGTAACAACAGCTGGCCACAGCATATTGTAATGCTTGGTAACTAAAGGGGCCCACACAATGTCATCCTTCGAATATTGTTCTGAAAGAAAACAAAACACCCATTCATTTTATGTGGATGACATTGTGAAATAGATCTCCAAAAAAGCTTCATATGCGACTCAAATTACATAAGCTGACTGGTGAGAAAACTTACTGCCTTTATAGGGTGACGCTATATTTATGTCTGGTAAATCGTCATCAGGAACAGATTCGAATGACATCCCATCTGAAGTGTAGCCTTTGAGGCCTTTACTCGTCTCAAACACGGGAGCTCTTTCAACCTTCCTAGACACCCTCGTCTTTGGTGGGGTCTTGTAGCAACGTTCCCTTGATACTGCCATGTTGTCTGTGGTACAACTGTCAATGTTCCTGGACGACCGGCGAGGGCTGGCCCTGGTAGGATTGCTAGAACTGGCTGAACTCTCTCTTTTCTTACGTTTCTTCGAGTCTTGGGAGGGACGAGCAGGGCTTTCTTGACTTGACTTCGAAGCATGGCGGGTGCTGACCCTCTCCTTCGTCGGACTGGCATCAGCAGTGCTGGCGACATTTCCTTTCCTCTTGCGATTATTATTATTATTTGGACTATTGCTCATATTACGATACAGTAAGTCAACAGCTACGGGTGGTTGCTGACGCTACCGATCCCAGGTTTCCTGATAACTTCAAGACGAGAGTACTATCATGCGAGGCTGACGTTGAGATCCAGGTCCAAATGCCGGCCGGACATGCACAGGTTCTTCGAAAACAAACGTCAACGTAAACATGAACATGTTTCCCCAAGCTTTCGTTTCCCTCTCTTTTCTTCTGCTCTGCGCAGCTCTGCGCCCCTCCCCCCTCCCTCAAAATCCCAACCCCCTGCCCCCCTTTTCCTCACTTGCCACTGGCGTCCTCAACTAGTTTCCTGCCTGGAGCTAAGAGCTGGAGCTGGAAGCTGGATGAAAAGCGTCAGCGGCCAGTGAAAATCGGTGCGGTGGAACATGGCGGCGTCCTGCGAAGCACGTTATATATCCACAGCGTGTAACAGAACGCCCGGATCCCTTTCTTGGGGAAAAAATGATTTGATTTGCTTTGGTGCTTGCAATAGTGTAGCAATTTATGATCCAAAGGTATTGTGTGACATTCATCACTTAAGCTTGCAGTTCCAGAACAGTAACTGAAAATGTGGAGGTTATGTCCATCAAAACAGTGTTGTTTACTTTATTATCATCTAAATATAAATTGTTTGACTGTCGATAACGTCGTGATAGGTCTTTGTGCTTTTGCATTCTTTTTCAATTACCGACAGTATGTCGTTTGTGTATCGTCATTGAGTTGTTCATTGATCTACCTAGTTACCATCATAAATCCTTCACTCATTCGTGTTATTTAAGAATTAATTGTGTTCTTTGATTTTTGTGAAATGCTGGTTCAATTTTACTTTACGTGTGTATTTCTTTTGCCAGGCCGCCAAAATCACAAATACATACTGTCATCATAGCGGAAGAGTAAACTCAGTAAGATGGGCTCAGAGTTCCGAAAGCAGGAGGGAAAATCTCACAGATACAGAGATTGTGTCAGTATCTTCAGACAAAACTGGTGTGGTCTGGTCAAAGGACGAAAAAGGCATCTTTCGTCCTTCTGGTGTACTGACAGGTATGTGTTGCTGTGGTCCTTCTCAATTGCAATCTCAACCTTCTCTGAATTTACTCCCTTCCCCCTTCCCCTCCCCTACTGTTTTAACAAAGATTGTATGTATTGTATTTGTTTGCAGGACACACTGACGTTGTTACTGTGGTTGATGCTATTTACTTGCCAGATAATAGCACCAGCAAATATCCAGCCCTCTTGGTAGTCACAGGATCAGCTGATTCCTCACTGAAAATATGGATCCGCAATTCTGGGAATCGTAAGTCATACATTAATTGACCATGTAAATTTTGTAAAAATATTTAAAGCTATTACCTACATTTAATCTTTTTTTTTTTTTTTTAATCAATCAGAGGAATTAACTTGTATGGAAACTCTTACTTCTGGAAGTGGTCTTTACCTCAGTATCAAGCTATGCCTTCTTCCAAAAGTCAATAGTCCACTGCTTGCAATTGCTACAGATGATGCAAAAATTCATTTGTATTCTGTAGCTACAGAGCCACCCATTCTCTGTCATATTCATGCTCTTGTTGGTCATGAGGATTGGATTCGTAGCATAGACATAACACTAACAGGTAATATTTTACTTCGACCTTGCTTGTTAACACATTTTCAATAGAATTTCAAGATTTGTGTCTTCCAAACATGTAGATGATGGAGATGTTTTGCTGGCCAGTGGAGGTCAAGATATGCTCATCCGAATATGGCGCCTGTCCCCTCGAAGTGGAGCAACTAACGTCAGTGCTTTCGATCGTAGCAAAGAAATCAAGTTAGAGGAAGAAATATTTTCAGTTAATTCAAATGGTATTATTTCTTACTGGGCAGCAACAGTTGACTCTGTTTTAGCAGGGCATGAAGGATGGGTCTACTCAGTGTGTTGGCATCCAAGAGTTAACAATGGTATAATAATAATAATATTGTTTTTTTATCATATTTTTTATTGTAAAATCTGAATATTATGATATTTACCCACACAATTTTCAGGCTTTGGAAAGGAAGTCCAACCATTATCACTTCTCTCAGCATCTCTTGATAAAACTATGGTAATCTGGGCCCCTGGATTGGAAAATGATGAAGATAGTGTATGGTTAGAAAAAGCTCGTTTTGGCGAAGTTGGGGGAAATACCCTAGGCTTTTATGGATGTCAGTTTGCTCCAGACGGTCATTCTATTTTAGCTCATGGTTATCAAGGATCATTCCACTTATGGCATCTTGATTCCGTATGTATTATGTACTTGATTAATTTTGTTTTTAGTTTATTTTTAATCGGATTGTTGTTGATTCATTGTGTTCTTTAACTAGGATACCGAAAGTTGGCAACCTGGTTTGTCAGTTGGTGGTCACTTTGATGAGGTGACTGACTTGGGTTGGGAACCAGGTGGTAATTTTGTAATTAGTGTGTCATACGACCAGACAAGTCGCCTTCACGCTCCTTGGATTCAAGATAAAGGCAAAGTAAGTTGAATATTTTACAAGGAGCTTTTATCTAAAACCATCTTCAATCCTATGTTATATCTATCTGATTTGCCGTTAGGTGTCTTGGCATGAACTCGCAAGGCCTCAGGTTCATGGTTATGACATTCAGTGTCTAGCCATTTTATCTCGTTACCAGTATGCTTCTGGGGCAGAGGAAAAAATTGTTCGACTTTTTAAAGCTCCTGGCAATTTTATTGAAAACTTCCAGAGAATTTGTGGTGTTCATGAGAAGAACATAAATGGTTTGTACAAATGTCAACCTCTCCTTCTTGGGTTATGGTTTCAAGATCATTGTTAAGTATTTTTAACCTGGAGCTTTTTAATTTTTCCCAGAACTTCTTGCTGCAATGCCAACTGGTGCCTCAGTACCTTCACTTGGGCTCTCAAACAAAGCTATCTTCAATGAGGACACTTCATTGGTTGCAGGAGAGAGCAACCAACCTAATGAACTTCCAGAAGGATACTTTACTCCAGTTTGTTTGGCAGGTTAAGCTATTACTATGAGTATTCAGAAATTTTGAATTATTAGACAAAGGATCTCACTGTGGGATTTATTTTATTTCTTTTATAAATTAGAGCCTCCTAAAGAAGAAGATTTACTCCAGAACACTTTATGGCCAGAAGTTCAAAAGCTTTATGGCCATGGTTATGAACTGTACAGTCTAGCAGCTTCTCATGATGGCAAAATTCTTGCTTCTGCATGCAAGGCTTCATCAAGTCAGCATGCTGCAATAATATTATGGTTTGTGGTTGCATGTGTATGTTGATTTTATTAATTTTAGTGTCTTCATTTTGGATTGAAAATCATGTTGTTTTTCTTTTCAAGGGATGTACAAAACTGGCAGCAACTGCAAAAGTTGCAGTCTCATGAACTGACAGTCACTCGTTTGGCATTTTCACCCAATGACAAGTATTTACTAAGTGTTTCAAGGGACAGATGTTGGAGTGTTTTTGAAAATCAAACAAATGATACAGGTGAGTAGTAATGGTAAGGGCTTTCTATGTCATGTTTAATTCTCTCACCCTCTCCTGCTTTTTCTTCTTTTTTTTTCTCTAGGACCTTGCTTTAAATTAGTCGCTTCTACAAATAAAACAACAGGAATTCACACTCGAATAATATGGTGTTGTGCATGGACTCATGATTCCAAGTTTTTCTCTACTGGATCACGTGAAGGGAAGATAGTGATATGGGGAGGACAGAGTACAACCAAAGAAGAAGCGGGCCTAGGATACTGGTCTTCAGCAACAAGTCCTCTATTGTTAAAAGAGTCTGTGACTAGCTTGTCATTTGCTCCAAAGAAGAAGTCTGATGAATCTTATTTGTTAGCAGCTGGGCTTGAGAATGGTCACATAGTGCTTTACAGTTGGCAACATCAAAAGGATGATCCTTGGTCTTTAATAATGTCACTAAATCGAGAGTATCCTTTATTAATTTTTATCTCTGCAGTTATTTCATTTACCATGGTATTTTCAAATCTAAACATGTTACTGGTAGTATTCTTCTTAACTATAGTTCTTAGCTTGGCCCATCATTTAACAGTCAAGCAGCTGGCATTCCGTCCCCAACTTGGAGATATTGGAAACAAGAAATCACCAACTTTGCTGCTTGCAAGTGCTGGTGCGGACCACATTGTCAAGATTCATTCTATACCCTTTGATGGACTTTGACATGGGCCTGCATCAAGTTCATCTCTTGTGAGTGCTTATTTGTCAACAACTGTGATGAAATTGTTTTTAGCTCTTTTGTACTCGTTGATCATTGTGAAAAAACAAGAGGCATAATAATTTTTCAAATTTCAAAATTTGATGCTAGTTAACAAGGTATCTTAAAATGTCATAAGAGTAATAAATAAATGAACACTTCTTTGATTTCAAAAGATTTGCATTTAATTTTGTCCATGGAACAAAATTGAAGAAGACAAAGTATGTATATTTAAATAGGGATGAAATGAAGGTATGATAAGCTTGTCTGTTTATATGAGATGAAGGCAGTTTTGAACAGGGTTCTATTCTGAAGCTATATGTTAAAATGGTCCCAACAAGAAAAAGCATGTACATCTAGTTTCTGGGAACATTCACAATAAATTACTCCAGTCCACATTGTACAAATGAGACAAATCATTTTCTTTTCCACCTCCTATTGCAACATTTTGTGACAGTTTTCATCCTATACTTAGTTTTTAAACAAAGTCACTAATTTACAAACAGATTTTGGCATCATTCCTATTTTCAATCTAAATTTCTTTCTGGTGGATTCCTCAAATTCAGATTACTGCTACACCAAAAGCTCCAATATTAATTATAAAGAACAATCATTTACAAGTCTTAAGTTAGGAAATTGAACTTTTCTTTTCTGATTTTTGCATGAATCTACAGATGTTAAAGTATTGCCTTCAACATATAGAATTGATTTCATGTATACAAATTATCTAAACTTTATGATAAGTGGAAAAATTTATCTCTGGGGTGTTTACTTTAGAACTGCATCCTTTAGCTCATGGGGTATCTATCGAGGAATGTTTAAATGGCTGAACAAAGCTAAGCCAGGTTGTTATAGAAGCATAAGTAGGTTCTTAAGGACATTATGAGCATCTATCAAAACAAGTTTGTAAGTAACTTTAATGATCATTTTAAAAGATGATTAAAATTTATGGAGGAGATAAAACGTACCATAAATCTACAACCTATATTTTACAACTAAAGAGAGAACTAACCATAATCGCGAGTTAAGTCATAGCACCATTGGTATTTCTAAGTTCAATTTTTTTTTTTTTTTTAATATTTTTGTTTTTATTAAATGGTTGGTATCACATACTGTATGATTGACAACTACTATGTACATAATGGTGACAGTTTTCAGGCTTTCAACATAATATAGTATCTTGTTGACAAATGATTGTCCTATAAAACTACAATGGTAGCTCACATATGCCCTCCCTTTTTGATGACTACAAATAACTTTAAATGTTTTCCTGTTGAGGGCAGGGTATCTTCCATTGGCCTATTGCCAGGTGTCAGGAAGTAAGTTTCATACTCAAGCACATCTGATTACCAGCATAAAGGGAGTTTTCAAGAGAATTTATTTTATTTTAAAAAATGGAAAAAAGTGTTCTATTGGCATTGGCGTAATATGCCCTAACTTTTAAAAACCATATTCTACATATACACTAATGCTTGGGGAAGTAATTTTGAGCCATGAACACATGCAGTTACATGCATTTACTGTTGAGCATTCAGAATAAACCACATGAAATACTAAGTGTGGTCTGGTTCTTCAGTAATTAGAGTCTGATGATAGCAACAGTTCTTCAAAATCTTTGCCTCAGCCTCAGCTAGCCACTATGAGTAAAGCACAGAGGAGACACTGACTAAAAGTTTGGAATATTTCAAAGGAATGATGACCTAAGTTAAGTAACATTTTCTAATGAAAGTTAACTGAGGCTTAAAAATGCTAGTTGTAACTCACAATATGAAAGCATAACAATATTAATGCTTGTCAATGAGAAAGAGATGTTATAATATGGATTTTCAGTTTATGCAAAATGACATCTTTTCTATATTTGGAAAACAAATTGTGTTCTTTGTCTAATTTAACAACCTTTCTGTGTGTTACTTCAACAAGGTGCTTGCATGGTATTAAAGACAAAGACTTAGTCAGGAAAAAAACTAGGACACAAAGCCGTCTTGTTCATAATCACTGCTTGCAAACACTCCAAATGTAGAGAACATCCACTGTTACAACAATGAATGTTGAAGCAATGCTTTTTTCAATCAAACTGATTTTCTTCAATTCACTTACTCTTTTAAATTCCTGGCCATACTCTGATCATGTTACAATCTCATTTAATCAGTCTTGTAATTGTTTATTGTATTTGCCCCAACATGTCTTGAGAGTGAATGAAGTTTTCTTATTGAAATTGATGTTATGAGTTTTGTACAAGACGATAAATGTTCCACTTTGTTGTAAACAGAAGTGTTGATGATGAGATCAGGGCGTCCTGGCCGCTACAGGACATTTTCGGTGCCCAGCCTCAAAGCATCTTTGATTTCTTCAGAACCGCTCAGGCTGCTCTGGAAGCGGCTCAATCCTGTCCTATAGTCTCTGTGAGACTATACTTGCAACTCGGACGCGGAACGTTTCACGGCGCACCGCATAGACTAGCAGAATGGCCAAGCCCACCAACACCATAGCAAGAGCATTGATAATGAATGCCTCTTCTGGCCACTCAACATATTTGAAGCTGAAAGCATAAGAGATAGAAAACAGGAAAGCTTAGAAATGTTAATGCAAGACAAAGAAATGTTAGAATAATCATGTGACAGAAAGCTGAAGAAAGAGATCTAACAATGAATGACCAGGAAACACAGACATTAATTATCTTTGATAACAGGAGCGAGAACACAGTAAGAACACAAAAGCGACATATGCTGTATTGTGGTTATCATGCAAGGGTTAAACTTTTAGAGCATAGGGGGGAAGCTGTCTGCCACCACTGAGCTGTAGACAATAAAAACAGGTGTTAATGTGATAAAGTATAAAGAAGATCCGGCTGTGAGCCTGGAATGGTGTTGTTCAAAGTCGTCATTAGAACAGCAAGATTGATTCTGGATGAAAGAAATGCTATTTTGTATGGTCATAAAAATTTTAATATTTAAGGTTATTATAGAAATCCTTACATATAATCATTTCCAAGAAGGGGACAAAAAAACAAACATATACATCCATAAAATATATGGAAAGGTGGGCACAAACAGGTGTAAATATTTTTTGAGTATGTACATAAAAAGTCTCATCTGTTCCGATAGTAAGAAACACACATGCCTGGAATGCTTGCCTCACTCTCACGCAACATTTAAATGCAGTTTGATGAGTGATGATATCAATACTGCCAGTAAAAAATAAAATACTCAAATATCCTAGGGCTAGGAAAGGTCAGTTACACAGGCAAATAATATTAACACTTAAAACAAAAAACTTTAAATTCTGTATTTATTTGAATTCTTAAAATTGCCTTTGAGAAGAACTAAATCTTTTAGAACTTTAGTTGGCCTGACCAGACTTTTCCAGATTGAACACAATCAACACTTGAGTTTTATCTGAATTCTGCATCAGTGAGACATTTTCTGTCACTTCCTCCCCCTCCCGTACCCAAATTGTCGAGGAGAGGGGGCAGCCACAGCTGTGCTCTCTTCTGGCAAATGCTTTTCTCTCTCCTCCACAATTTGAAGGGTTTAGAAAGTGTTAAACTGGTTTGGAATTCAGACAAACTTCGCATGCTTCATCAAAATGTTTAAAAAGTGAGAAGTAAAATAAATACCAGCCTAATGATACTGCATTTCCTGTAATAAACACATAATTATTACATTTCAGTATCGCTCACCTAGGTATCATCATGTAAAATTAAGTTTAATATGTACTTCCTTCTTATTAACTAGCAAGAACATTTACCTTCCTCAAGACATCACTCAAGAAAATATGTACATCAAGATCAGAATATGCAGCTGTAGCTAATTAATAAGTATAAAAGTTCAATTATTTGAAACAAATTAAGACTGATAGGGATAAAATATGACACTTGAGGAAGCAAATGCTTCATTACACTAAAATCCATATCAAAAACTCCTAATGGCCCGGATTGCTTCAATATTGTAAACATAACTTTCTTTATATTTTTTGAAGAGTGCAGTTTTAAAACAACTTGCTTACACTCCATGTAAGCTATTTTAATTCTGTTCCATCACATATAGTAAACAACAAAACTGATGAAAATGATAAATTTCAGTTTACTATTGGTAAAAATCTACTTGAAGTTTCAGCACATGATTAATGATGCTAACTGTAAAGAGGGCTGGTAATGCTATAAGAAGTACTTCACTCATTTTGAAAATGAAAGTAATTTTCAGTCACTGTATCTATCTACATTTCACTCTGCACAGACACAAGAATGTGTCCTGAGTATCTAAAACCTTCCCGCAGCAAAGCATAAGCCATGACTATAGCACTTGCAACTAAAGTCATTGCTAAGGCATTGATGATGATCGCCTCCTCAGTCATAAAGGAATAGAAGAGCCTGAAAATATGACAACAAATGTTAATTACATCATTTCACAGACTTTTTGATAGGTCTTAAATATCAGTTAGGAAATTCAAATCCTGATATTTAACTTGTTGGACCTAAAGGAGCAATTAATTAATTTCTACTCTACACAAATGCTGCAGCTGTTCTGGCAGAGGATACTAACGCGACTGTAAAAAGGAGTTTCATTGTTTTCGTCTAACCATCTATCTAATAATAGAAAAGGACCATAAATGAATATCGAACAAGTATTTTACATACCCAGGTGTGAGGAAGGCCTTCTCGGTCAGACCAGTAAGACAGGTTGCAACAGCAAGCATGAAAGTCAGAATTCCAAATGTGGCGTGTATTGGAACAAGAGAGGCTCGGAATCCTGCCGTAGCATTTTCACAGCATAGGAGAATGAGAAAACTGAAGAAGCCCACAACAAACTGAAAATTTGAGAATTTAAATTAAATCAGTATGGCATTATCCAATTAAAATAAATATTATCAAGAAAACTGTACTCTTGTACTAAGTACCTGAAGTGCAAATAGGCCCATGGTGACAAATCCCATCCAGCTGTGAAGAGAGTAGAAGTTGCGGATTGGTGGGTTGGCAAGGTTGTGGGAGTCGAGAACCGCAATGAAACCGACAACCACACAGGGAACGGCGAGCGCATGGAAGATGGTGTGGAAGAGCTTCACATAGATTCGGCGGCAACAGCGGCCAATACGGTACAGGAGCATTGCTGTAGAAGAGAATTTTATTTAGGCTAATATAGCAAATAAATATACCCGGGTAGTGCCTATGCGCATTACAAACACAGAAAAGCACACCAAATGTTGGCACTTACAGAAACCGCTGAAGGTGATGAAGCCGGCAATCATGAGCACGGGGTGCAGGTTGAACTCGAGCGTCGGGTTCTCGGTCCATGCAAAGCCTTGTCGGTAATACAGCACCCAGAAGAGCACGAGCACGAGGGCGCCCACGAGCAGGATGATGGCGAGCGCCACCACCAGCAGGAACTCGAACCAGTTCCCACACGCCCAACTGTTCTCGTCATCATAATTGCGATGCCTGTAACAAGAGCAAACAGGGACGTCATGCATCATCGTATGCGAGGAGCGTTTCCACAGTATGACCCAGACGATACACATCAAAGGCTGCGAATGACGGGCAAACGTCGCGATATGAAGGCTCAACGCTAAACAACCCCCGGCCTGCTCACCTCCCCTCACCTCGACGGGGAGGAGGTCTGCGAGGACCGCTGCTTCATGGCGCGCTTAACCGACGGCCAGCTGGTCCCGGAGGACGGGGCGCTGCCCCGGGACCGGGCGTCCTGTGGGCTCCTCCCGGTCCGCGTCCACTGCGGCACCCGGGACCCCACCACCCCCACAAAGCCAGTTCGCTTGCCGTGGCCCCCCGGGGCGGCTGCAACGGTAGCCCCGCGCCCCGACAGCCAACCCCCACGGGGGGCGGCGAAGGAGGCCTGGCGGCGCAGCGGGGTGGGCGGGGGCATGGGCTGCGAGTCCACGCTGCTGCCGCTGGCCAAGCTGGCCGTGGTGCTGCCCACGCTGCTGGCGCCGCCCCCGCTGCTGCCGCTGCTGCTGCTGCCGAAGCCGTCGGCTCTGTCCAGGCTGCAGGTCGGGCCGGGGGCGAGCGCCGGCGCGGTCGGGGTCGGCGCGGGCAGGGTGAGGTCGAGGATCTCTACGGGGGCCTGCAGGGGCGCCCCGCCCGCCCTGCTCTGCCCACATGCTGCTCGGGGAGTGTGAGCAGTAGCGGCAGTGGGCCCTGGTGGGAGGGAGGGCCACGGTTTGAGGTTTGAACAGAACGCCCCAGCAGCCCCGCCACGCCCCGCCCAGCCACGCCCCAGCCCCCCGCGGTGCCGAGGGCGTGCAGGCTCCTCGCGGGGCCCGTCAGTAATGTAAACACGACTCTGGCCGGGCTGAGGCTGGGGGCCGCCGGGGCCCGCGATGCACGCCGGGGTCACTGGCCTTCCCCGCCGAGGCAGCGCGGCGAGCGCGGCCAAGCCGGGCGGGGCCGGGCGAGCCTTAGCGAGCTTCACCGAGTGCCATGCAGTGTCTGCGATCCTCGGGTAGATAGCGGTCTGGCCACCTCGGCGGCCGCGGCGACAGCAGCCTCTCCGCCGCCGTTGCTTCCACTTTCCAATACGGGTAGCGTAGCGAAACGTAGTGCGCGGTAGTCGTCGAACGCACGCACGCACGCTCGCTCGCTCTCTCACACACACACACACACATGCACACGGCGACAAAGGCTCGCGGAGCCAGTCCGTCGGAGGCGATAAATTTCCGTTTGTGTTGCTTTCCTCTCCTCGCCGATACGTTACGCTAGGCAGCGCGCGGCTCGCAAACCCGCCCGCCTCCCCCGCGAGTGGCCCAGGATCCACAGGGCGGGGGCCCGCCCGGGGGCCGGGGACGGATCGCATCACGCCGTGCCCGAGGGTTTGTTATTTCTCGTGTAGTACCGGCAGGGGGCTGCGGTGGCGGCGGCGCGGACGGGGCTGGCGGTGCGGAGGGCGCGGTGGCCGCGGAGCCTGCTGCTGCTGCTGCTGGGCGCTCGGCCATCGCTCCCGGAGTAGCGGCGCAGAGGGGCCCCCGCCCCCCTTGGGCCCCGCGGCCCCACCCGCCCCCGCCGCCCAGGCTCGCGCCTCCGCAACAATTAACACCCGGCCCGGCGCACACACCGCTCGGAAACACGACCACGCAGACCTCCGCCCCTTCGCTGGCATCCCTCTGGCACTTTGAGCACCCCTTCGCTTGGCCTTCCACCTGCGGTCGGCGGCGGGCTGCGCCATACCCTGCTTTGCCCGGCCCCCGACGCCACCGCCGCGCACCTAACGCGTGAGGAGCAAGGCCCGAGTTAGGCCCCCTGTGTTCCGTTATACTACACGCCTTGACCGTGGGGCCGGCGGCAGTGCCGTGGGGCTGGGCCGGGCTGGGCCAGGGCGCGGCTCTGCACACCTCACCTCACCTCGTGGCCATGAGAGGGCGCGGCGGGGTGGGGCGGGCGTGAGATAACCAGCGGACCAGCACTTTATTCCTCTGGGAAAAAAGAAGCCCCCGCGCAAGTACCTGAAGCTGCTGGCAGCACGGCCACTGCCGCTGCACCTGCCTCCGCAGTACCCGCGCATACCCCCCCCCCTCCCCCCTTCATTTTGCCTCAGGCAGTAAGTGGACGGCCGGGAAAGGGAAGACGCCGCGCCGCCGCCGCCGTCGTCGTCGTGGTGGTGGCATCATACCTCACCGGGAGGTCCTAACGGTCCTAATCAGCCAAAGGCCGCCCGCGAGCGGTGCTCTGTGTGGCCAAGGCCGTGCCCCGCCTTGCCCTCCATGAGCAGGGGCGCGGCAGCGCCAGGCCGGGACCGAACAAACATATGAGAGACACACGATGAACAAGACGGGCCGGCGAGCAGCTCAGCCTGTGCTGCTGCAGCGCGAAGCGAGGCGGGCGGAGACGGAGAACAAGACCAGCGGTCGTCCCGGCGAAAGGGCAAACGTTGATCCTCCCCCCCCCCTCCCTTCACCACCCATCCCATCGCTGCGAGAGAGAGAGAGAGGTTCGTCGAGGTGGCTCGTCATGCGGACGCAGTTCGGAGCGTTATTGGGTGCTGTCCACTCTGTGGGTGTGAGGGCGAGCGAGACGGTCGGCGAGAGATGCTGGCTGCCAGAGAACAATGAACCTATAGCGCCGAGCCGCGCCGTGTCCGTCCCCTTCCACTACCTAACCAAACATACTCACGAAAACGCGCGGCCGCGCCATTCCGTCTCGGGTGAAAAGTTTCTTTGCTGCCGGCGATAAAACGATTCAACTGCATAAAAGCACGCCGTCAGGCCGGGGCCGCGCGCCCGCGCCGCGCGCCGACTGAACTCGAAAGAGACGCCGCCGCCGCCCCGCCGCCGACATTTTCTCGGAGCGCAAAATAAAGAATCTTTTGCGCGCGGAAATTTCCCTCTTCCGCGCGCTGCTCCGCGCTGCTCCGCGCTCGCTCGGCTCGCGGAGCAATTACTTCATGACCAGCCCCGCGGTGCGTGCTTACAACCGGCTAAGGCGCTCGGCCCGCTAATGACCATTAGGCATAACCGGGAGTCGTTTTTTGGGGGGAGGGCGAACCGGGCGAATGGTATTAATACGATCCGACAAACAAACGTAGGGAAAAGACAGCGGGCCTCTAAAACCGTTTTAAATCCCACAGAGCAGCGGGCTATATCAGACTTTTGTAAGTATGGGAGGCTCGCACGTTCGAGATACACAACAATACAAAGAATTACATTTGAGTAAAATGCTGCAATTTCTTTTAGGACTGTTCAATTAAAATAAGAATAAAATAGAACAGAAATAGAAACTAGTTTTGACAGTTGAGCAGCAGGCAGGCGCTCCTCGCGCCTGGCCTGGGTCACGTCATGTCAGTGCACTCTCTGCACAGGCACCCCGGCGCCACGCCGCGCCTGCAATTTGTCTCCCCACTCAAAAGCGCGTGGTGAGGGGGGAGGGGTGGGGGAGGGATGACGGGAGGAGGGGTGAACGCAACCGCATTCGTACACACAGCAGCGCTTACCCCAGGACCAAGCGCGCCCCTCCCCTACCCTTTTCCCCGCGCCCTGTCTCTCTGGCTCACCGCCAGACCCCAATGATGAGCGCGTGTCTGAAAGCGCGCTCGCTCTGCTGAAAGCCGCGCGCGCGCGCCGCACCGCGCCACGAGTCGGGTCGCTTTATGCAAACCCAAACCCGTGTGGACGTTTGAGATGATGAGACAGCCTCTGTCACAATAACACTGTGGCTGTTGCGGGGTGAGTGGGGAGTGGGTGGGGCGGGGCGGGCGCGGCGCTCTGCAGCAGCAGTGCGGTGGTGATGCTCCCGCCTGGGCCGAGCGCCTGGTGGGTAGGCAGGCCCGCGGCGCACGCCCGCGTAACGGGACTGCCTACCCGCACGGGGTTCCGGCGGGACGGGCGGGCCGCGGCGACGACGACGCACGGAACGTGATATTATGGCCTTGGCATTTCTTTTAGCGCTCACAGTCGGCACAGTCTCCTCCTCCTCCCCCGGCTCCTGACGGAGTACAACGGTTAATGGGCACGGGTATAGGCCGGCCGGCGCAGAGGACCGACGGGCGGGCGGGCGGACAGATTCTGTACGACATGTGCGCGGGAGAAATTGCGCACGGTGCTCCTCCCATGTCGCTTGGTTATTGGCTTGCGCGGCGCGTGCAGGCGAAGTGGCCCGCGGGGGGGG